TTTAAATCTATAAAATGAGTTTGGAGAGAACGCCTTAGATTTTGTATTCACACACTGATCTTAGGTCTTGGCTAGTTTATCCTTTCTTCCAAAATTAATTTCTCTACTTTTAGCTTTCTTTTTTTTTTTAATTTTTAAAAATTTTTTTTGACAGGCAGATTAGACAGAGAGAGAGAGAGAGGGAGGGAGAGGGAGAGAAAGGTCTTCCTTTTCCGTTAGTTCACCCTCCAATGGCCACTGTGGCCGGCGCACCGCGCTGATCTGAAGCCAGGAGCCAGGTGCTTCTCCTGGTCTCCCATGCAGGTGCAGGGCCCAAGCACTTGGGCCATCCTCCACTGCACTCCCAGGCCACAGCAGAGAGCTGTACAGGGAGAGGAGCAACTGGGACAGACTCTGGCGCCCCGACCGGGACTAGAACCTGGTGTGCCAGCACCGCAGGTGGAGGATCAGCCTATTGGGCCGCAGTGCCGGCCATACTTTTAGCTTTCTCCACCTAGATCTTGTATACATGTACACATTAAAAGATAATATCTTGGGGTAGATGTTTGGCCTAGCAGTTAGGATGCCCGTGTCCTGTATCAGAGTACCTGGGTTCAAGTCCAAGCTCCTGTTCCCTATTCTAGTTTCCTGCAATTGCACACATCAGGATGCTGAGGTGAAAGCTTAAGTAGTTGAGTTCCTCCTACTCATGTAGGAGATCTGGATTGAGTTCCAGGCTCTACCTTTTTGCCTGATCTGGCTGCCTGGCCATTGCAGACATTTGGGGAATCAGCCAGCAGAGAGTAGCTTGCTTTTTCTGTCTCTTTCCACCTCTTAATGATAATTTTTAAAAGATAATGTCTTACAGCTTATTAATGTTAAAATAATCATAACAAAAATATGAATAAATTACTTTTGTTGTTAAAAATACAACACAGTGTTGTATACAGCAAAAATCTGTACATAGAGAAACTACCAGAAAGAGGAGAGCCCCAGGAGAAGTCCCAAATAATATCACACTTTGTAAAACAACAAAATTCTGTATCAAAGAATTTCCACAATTCCTTGGGAATTTTGATTTTTTTCTTGCCTTGTTTTTTTCTGATAAGATTTTTTTCTATTTGTGAGCATTAGCAAAAATTTATTTATAGGAGAAATTTAGATATGAATAATGCCTCATAAGGAATGTGAATGAGGATTATAAAAATAAACATCTTAGATTTTTATAATGCTTTAGATTCCATTGGTCCCTTGAATAAGACATGGATAGCTAGTTGATAGCTTGTGTAGTTTTTTCTTTAAAAAAAAAAAAATTATTTGTGAGGTAAAGCTACAGAGAGGGAGAGACAGAGAGGCCTTCCATCTGCTGGTTCACTCCCCAAATGGCTGCAATGGCTGGAGCTGGGCCAATTGGAAGCCAGGAGCTTCTTCTGGGTCTCCCACATGGGTGCAAGGGACCAAGCAATTGGGCTATCTTCTACTGCTTTCCCAGGCTACTAGCAGGGGGCTGGATCGGAAGTAGAGCAGCTAGGACATGAACCGGCTCGTTATGGAATGCTGATGCTGCAGGCAGAAGCTTAACCAGTATGCCACAGCGCCAGCCCCTGTGGTTTTTTCTTAATTAACAAGAATTACCTATATTGTGGCATACAGCATTGTTTGATATTTGAACCATTGTGGAGTAGCTAAATCAAGCTATTTAACATGTGTATTACTTCACAGACTTATTTTGTGGTAAATAGCGTTTGTAGTTTAGTCAGTGAATACCATAATCTGTTGGTTCTTAACCTTTGCTACTATGACTTAGAATTCCTAGAGAGCTTTTAAAATTTCAGATGCAGGTCTGGCATTGTGGCATAGTGGGTAAAACCACCTGTTGCTGTGCCAGCATCCCATATAGGTGCCAGTTTGAGTCCCAGCTGCTCCACTTGCGATCCAGCTGCTTACCAACTTACCTGGGAAAGAGGCAGAGGATGGCCCAAATCCTTGGGCCCTTGCACCCACATGGGAGACCTGAAAGAAGCTCCTGGCTTTGAACCATCCCAGCTCTGGCCATTGAAGCCATTTAGGGAGTGAACTAGCAGATGGAAGATCTCAGTCTCTCCCTCTCTAACTCTGCCTTTCAAATAAATAAATCTCTTTTAAAAAGAAACTCAGGTACCTTGTGTGACATAACAGACCAATTAAACCAGAACTTCTTATGTGGTACTCAGACACCAGAATTTTTTTAAAGAAAGATTTATCTATTTATTTGAAAGGCAGAGTGACAGAGTGGCACATCTTCCATCCACTTGATCACTCACCAAATGCCTACAGTAACTAGAACTAAGCCACGCCAAAACCAGGAGCTTAGACTCCACATGCTGCCTCCCAGGCACATTAGAGATCTCCCAGTTACCCAGAAAACTGGCAACCAAGGCTATATATCAGGAAGATGTTGCTCACAGTTCACAGTTGAGAAAAAGCAGGCAGCTCAGCAGATCTCCACAGTCCACAAGGAAAACTGAACAATCTTGTCCTCAAGTTTGAAACCAGACCTGGCATCATTAAGCTACCACCTGCAGTGCTAGCATCTTATGTAAGTGCTGATTCCAGTCCTGGCTGCTTCACTTCCAATCCAGTTCATTGCTAATGAGCCTGGGTAGGAGCTTGGGCCCCTGCTACCCACATGGGAGACCAGGATGAAGCTGGCTCCTGGCTTTGACCTTGCCTAGCCCCAACCATTGTGACCATTTTGGGAGGGAACCAGCAGGTGGAAGATCTCTTTCCCTTTCCATTTAACTCTGCCTTTCAAATAAATAAATTAATTTTAAAAATTGTTTAAAATCAGTGAAGATTTCAAACTTAAGTGGCAGTAAGACCTAGCAGAACCGTTGAACACACAAGAATACTTCTAAAAGTCCATGGAAAATTTGAATTAAAGCTGTTTATTTGGGTATAAACAATTGTGAAATCCATGCCTAGCGTTTCTGTAATACACATTTGCAGTGGATTTTTTGAATATACTTGTTAGTTCAACTCTCACCGAAGGAGCCTGCTCCTTTCTGTGAATGAGTATCATTTCTTTGGTCTCTGCTACACTGTTATGCAAGATGCTCATCACTCAGTCAAAGATCTTAAGACCTGCACAAAAGCAAGAGTATGTGGCTCATAGTGAGGAACATAAACAGGGGAAGTCATAGAGGTGACCCAGACATTGGTGTTACCAGTTAGGGACTTGGTAATAAAAATGTCAAAGAATCTAGTAGAAAAAGGTGCACAGCATGTGTGAAGAGATGAAGAATTTCATCAGAGAAATGGAAACTTTTTTTAAAAGAACCAAATAGAACTGCTAAAAACAAAAAAAAATGTGATTTCAGAAATTAAGATCTTTTAGGGGTGGACATTTGGCCCAGCATTTTTAAGATACTGCTTGGGGTACACACAGCCGGTTTTTAGAGTACTTGCATTTGGGTCCTTGTTCCACTCCCAATTCTAGCTTCCTGCTGATGCACACCCTGGGAGGCAGCAGGGATGACTCAGGTGCTCTGTTCCTGCCAAACATGTGGGAGACCCAGACACTGGGTTCCAGACACCTAGTTTTGGGCTTGTCCAGCCCAGCTGTTGTGGGCATTTGGGAAGGAAACCAGCAGTTGGGACGTTGCCCTCTGTCACTCTCTCACTGTCTCTCTACCTTTCAGGTAAATTAAAGTACGATCTTTTAGATGAGTTTTGCAGAAAATACCTAATCAGCCTTGGTCAAACTTGGGAGAGCATTATGTGTTATGGAAGGGTTCCTTATGGTTACACTGATACTCACCTTGAATGAGAAGTACAGAACACTCCCTGCCCTAGTTATAAGCCTATAAACATTTCCTTTGTTAGAGCACTTCATAGATTCATAAGGCCATTTGTTTTCACATATTTTCCAGGTAGTTTCTTGATAGAAGATAATTTGTAGTTTAAGAATTCATGCATAGGCCTTTCCAGATAATTAGAGTTAGAATTTTCACTTGCCTTGGGAGAGAAACAGACAACCCTGGTAGTCTAGTCCCCACATTGCCTGAGTGTCTTGTTTGATTACCTAGTGCTGCAATTATGTCACCATTTTCCATTGCCTTTCTATATTCAATCTTATATAACATATAATAAACATATTGGTATTCATCTAATAAAGACTTTTAGTTTTTAGATTAACTACATTTTTTAAAGATTTATTTATTTATTTATTTGAAAGTCAGAGTTACTTGGAGGAGAGAGAGAGAAAGAAATCTTTCATCCCTTGGTTCACTCCCCAAATGGCTGTAGTGGCCAGGGCTGGGCCATGCTGAAGCCAGGAGCTTCATCCAGGTCTCCCACGTGGTGCAGGGGCCCAGACACTTGGGCCATCCTCTGCTGCTTTCCAAGGAACATTAGCAGGGAGCTGGATTGGAAGTGGAGCACTGGGACTCATGTGGAATGCTGATGCCGCAGGCAGTGGCTTAACCAGTTGAGTCACAGCACAGGCCCTGAGTAACTACATTTTTTTTACAGGTAACTTTGTTAGTGTCCATTCGAGCTATGGGGAACAATGGTGAATCTCTGACAACGCCACTCGAGATACATGGAAGTTTCTTTGCAATTAAAATCGAGTTTCTGGGGTCGTAACTACCTCTGCCATCTCTAAAGTAACTGTAATAGTTTGTTGCTGAAGAATAAGACTGGGATTCTCTTGCATTTTTAAAAAATCTCTTTCAAGTTTTGTAGGATTTCTGTTGATTCCTTCCTTTATTTTTTATTGAGTCAATATTTATAAAGTAACTCATAATTACTCCAAAAATAGTCTATTTCCACAGACGAGAAATTTTCTCTGGTATCTTTTCTTTTCAGTTTGTACAGCCCAAATATTGCCCTGGAAAACCTATAAATTTGTATCAAAGATAAAGAACAATTGCTCAGCTTCAGCTTCAGTTCGTCATGCTTTAATAATGTTTTTTAAAAGGTAAAATGGTAAGGAGTTAACAGAAGTAGTAGTGGAGTTAACAGGTTGCTTTATTTTACAGGGAAAATATTCATCCCCAAGCAGAAACCTGTACAGACTTTTGCAGAAGAAAACATCTCTCTTGATCCAGAACTAGAAGAAGCTTTGACAAGTGCTACTGATACAGAATTGTGTGACCTCGCAGGTATCTCCTCTGCCATGGATTGTGACTGTGTGTGGGGTAGGCAGGGCAGTACTAGCATTTATCTACAGAAGATGCCTGCTTTGCCTGGCAAAGTGCCGTTGAATCAGTGACCACATATTTGGCTTTATATTTTTACATGTAAAATCTGACTTGCGGATTTCATTTCCTTAAGTATCCTCAGTGGTGACATTTTTATATTAATAGACTCTATCTTACTGTTTGACATGTTTTCCCATGTTACCAAATTGGAGAGTTTTTTAAAAAATCTTTTCACCCCCTGGTGCTCCGTTAAACACTGTCCTGTCAGAGACAGGGAGTCTTTAGAGGCAGATGCTGCTCTGTTTTGTCAGAAGACCCGGGGGTGAGTAACCAAGAAGAAGCTGCGACCGTCCAGCCTGAGCTGACTGAGCTGTGTCCTCACCGCTTTCCCAACTTTTCTGAAGTCCGTGTGCAGCACTGCAAACCTCCTTGTTGCTTTCATTATTGCTGATTTCTCTTAGCCCTACAGGTATCTCCCCTCACCTACCCACACACATTTATTTTCCTAGACAGAAAAGTGTGGTGTGTGGGGAGATAACCCCAAGAAGTCATGTGTTTGAAGGTAGCAGTGATAGTTCTTTGCAAAGGAGCTTAAAGATCTAAGGTGTGGCGCCACAGCCTGAGCAGGTTTCAGATTTTTTTCTTAGCCACTAGAGGGAGCAAAGCATTGATTTACTTTTAGAGAGGCTGTCTCCAGCTATGTGTCTGATGAATTCATTCAGAATGTGGGGGGAAATAACAAGAGGATCGATAAGAATGAAATTGTAGATGATACTTAATCTCCCTCTCTAGCTACAAAATCTTACTTAATTTAACAGGGAAATGTCCAGAGAATGTTAAAATTTATAAGAAAAATTTGGTTGTAAAATTAGTTCTCTATGTTTAAAACAGATGAAAATAAAAATTTCCTTTTTCTGTATTGTAGCTATTCTTGGGATGCACAATTTGATAACAAATGCACAGTTCTGTAATGTTGTAGGAAGTAGTAATGGTGTCGACGAGGAACATTTTTCAAGTGAGTACTGAAAATGTTTTGTGAATTCCAACCCTTTATTTAAATATATTTTGTTTTCTCCATGTATCAGCTTCAGCATTGACATAACAAATGTTAAATGTATGTACTTGAAACCTGAGATTCAATCTGGGTTAGTCATTAAAAATTGAATGTTAAATATTTGGTGCTTATGTGTCAGCACATGTAATAGGAACCTCACTAAATAATATGAATGATAAACAGTATAAAAGCATGTCAAACTTTAATTTTGTTGACATTTTGTCATCAGTGTTACTGATTTTCAAGAAATTCACTTCTCTAACAAACTATATTATAAAATCATTCAGGAGAAACCACAAAACTACTCAGCCTCAGCTTTTTAAAAAGTACATTTTTAGGATTTTTTTTAAATTAGTGTAGTAATTTTTTTAAATTAGTGGGGTAATTAGTGTAGTGTAGATTCTCTGTTCATAGCCATCATGCCCTGGGCTCTCCTGACTACTACCTAACTGTTAACAATTGGGTATAGAGCCTTCTAGACTTTGTACTATTTTTTTTAAAGATTTATCTTTTATTTTATTTGAAAGTGTCAGAGAGAGGTAGAGACAGAGAGAGAGAGGTTTTCCATCCATTAGTTCACTCCCCAAATGGCTGCAGCGGCCAGAGCTGAGCCGATCCAGAGCCAGGAGCTTCTTCCAGGTCTCCCACATGGGTTGACTTGGGCCATCTTCTGTTTTCCCAGGCCATAGCAGGGAACTGGATCAAAAATGGAGCAGCCAGGACTTGAACCAGTGCCTATATGGGATGCTGTCACTGCAGGCTGGGACTTCAACCTGCTGTGCTACAGCACTGGCCCCTAGACGTTGTACTGTGATTATACAAAGTATTCAGCTCTATAAGTTTTTACAAGAATGGAATCATACTATAAATAATTTTTGCAGCTTAATTTTCCAATACTAATTAGCAACTTCTTTTTTTTTTTTTTTTTTGATTTATTTATTTATTTGCAAGTAAGAGCCACAGAGAGGACTTCCATGTGCTAGTTCACTCCCCAGATGGCTACAGTGGCCTGGCCTAGGGTTAAGCCAGGAGCTTCCTCCAGGTCTGCCACATGGGGACAGGGGCCCAAGCACTTAGGCCGTCTCCACTGCCTTTCTCAGGCTGGCATCACAGGCAGAGGCTTTACCTGCTGCTCCACAACACCCACCCCAATTAGCAACTTTTTTTCAGTGCTTACTTACTGTGGGTCATGTTTTTTGTGCACAACTCTTTTTTTTTAAAGATTTATTTATTTCAAAAAGTTACAGAGAGAGGGAGACAGAAAGAGATATCTTCCATCAGCTAGGGCACAAACCAGCAGCCATAAGGGGTGCCAGCATCACAGGCGGCAGCTTTGCCCTCTGGGCCACTACACCAGCCCCTGTGCACAGCTTTTGAATGTGGATGATTCTTATTAATCTTCACAACATTTCTTTGAAATTGGTATTGTCTTTAATTTGCATGTGAGGGAGTTGGGATTTTAGGATATTAAGTAACCAACCTCAGTGTCACACAAAGTCAGTCGTAAGGACTTAACCATTGCTCTGTAGTGTGTCACTTAGCAATGTAACATGACTGTGTCCTTCTTAGTACATACAGATCTACCTCACTCAGCTGCCTCACATTCCATTTTATGGTGTCCAGTAATTTGGCCATTGCCCCTGGTTTTTATCTTTTCATTACAGAAATGCTCAGGGGTGTGTAAATAAAGAGAAAATAGCCTATCCATAACCCATCTTCAGCTGTTATTAACATTTGGCTGGCCTTGTTTTATTCATTTTCATTTTTTTAAAGATTTTATTTATTTGGGAGACAGAGTTACAGAGAGAGGGAGAGACAGAAAGAAAGGTCTTCCATCCTCTGGTTCACTCCGCAGTGAACAGTGCAGGAGCTCCCTCTGGGTCTCCCACATGGGTGCAAGGGCCCAAGCACTTGGGCCATCTTCCACTGCTTTCCTAGGCCTTTTGCCAGGAGCTGGATTGGAAGTGGAACAGCCAGGACTTGAACTAGTGTCTATATGGGATGCAGAAACCACAGGCAGAGGCTTAGTCTGCTACACCACAGCGCTGGCCCCTGTCCATCTTCTGCCTTCCTTCCTACCCTCTCCACTTTTTCTGGTATATTTTGAAGTAAATACTGTTCATTTGCCTTACTTCACCCATAAAGATTTCCGTATACATCTCTCATAAATAAAGGCTTTTACTATAACCACAATGCTATTATCAAACATAAAAATAAATAGTAACTCATCTTACCATGTAATACCCAGTCCTTGGCCAGATCACCTCTTTTTCTCAAAAAGATCTTTTCACGTTTGATTCAATTCAGGATCCAAATAGAAGTTACATACTGCATTTGATTTGCTTGCCTTTCTAGTCTCTCTTCATTCACACTTCTCTGCCATCTCTTTCCCTCTTTTTTCATGCATTTATTTCTTAAAAAAGCTGGATTATTTGTCAGGAAGAATTTTCCACATTCTACATTTGGCTCATTGCAACCTTGTGTCATTTTATGTTTTTCTGTCCCCCTGTGTTACTGTAAACTTAGTTCTAATGACGTGGTCAGATTGAGGTGCAGTTTTTGTTTTGGCAGGAAAGCTTTATAGATTGTGATTGAATCACATTAGGAAATTTATCAAGCTTTTGTTTGTCACTGTAGATGTGGTAAAAGGTGAAAAGATTCTTCCAGTATTTGATGAGCCACCAAATCCAACCAATGTTGAAGAGAGTTTAAGGAGAATTAAAGAAAATGATGCTCGTCTTATTGAAGTTAATTTGAATAACATAAAGGTAGGTGTACTAAGCAAACACAGATGGTTCGTGTTGCTTTGAGTCACTTGAGCCTAGGCTGAGGCCTGGGCAGTTTTCACAGAGTGGTCTAATTCCTTCTACCTTAAGGTAGACTTTCTGTTCCTCAACAGTAAGCTAACATAGGCTCCTTCGTAGTTTAGAAATTAAAATATTATAGTAAAGATTTCTCTGACTTGACTTTTTGAGAGTTTACCATATAAAAATATAAACCCTGTAGAACTATCTGACTATCCAGTGGTTCCTCTGACTTCCAAAGAACATTTAGCCTTTTGTGTTTTGTTTTTTTAAATCAGGTTTCTCAAGGTATAATTTATATATAGTAAAAATTATCTGCTTTAGTACACAGTTCTCTGAGCTTTGACAGTTGCCTACAGATGTCCAGCTACCATGGCAGTCAAGATGTGGAGCATGTCTGTCACCCCACAAGTCCTCTCACACACCAGTGTAGTCATTTGCTGCCCCCGGGCTCTGGTGCCTGACAACCGCTGATGTGTTTTCTTTCCCTGGCATTTTGCCTTCTCCAGAACATCATATAAATGGAATCATATTTCTAGCCTTTTGAGAGTGCCCATGCATAATGCATTTGAGAGTCATCCATGTTGTTGGATATACCATGGCTGATTCCTTTTTGTTCTCACTAGTACTCCAGTGAATGGATATGCTGCCCTGTGCCCATCCATTGTAGGGAGGGATTCCTTCCAGTTTGGGTTGATTATGTGTAGTCACTATATACATTCACTAACAGGTTATTATTGTATGTGCACGCGTTTTCATTTGTCTTTATTAAACTAAATGGGCTAAAAATGGGATTTCTGATATCTACTGAATTTTAAACAGTGCATTACTTCCTTGGAGTTAGGGCATAGCAGTAATTAATTATCAAAGAGTGAACTCAGTACCTCTTGAGTATTAGCCATTCCTCATTTTAAATCTTGACCTATCTGAATTGGGGTTGGAAGATTCTGAACCTAGGAGAGACAACCTCTGTGCTCCTTCATGTGAGTGGAGGGAAGAGTGCTGATATGCTGATGTCCTTAGCTGATAACTAATATTTTTTGTTTTAGTTCAGTTCCTGTTTATCATTGTGAATAAACAATAGTGATCTAAAAATAACCAGGCTATTGGGAAATGAAGTCTTAGGTATTAAAGGAAGATATCAGTGCCTCCTGTAACTATTTTTCCTCTTTCAAGTACTTCAGAGTTACTCTCTCTTAATACTTTGTAGCTTATGAAGTGACTGAGAACACTGTCATCTGCCAGAATCATGCTCATTAGAGGTAGACTCCCACATCTCCCTCTTTGCAGGAAAGTGAATTCACTTGGAATGAACAGTTGCCTTCATATAATAAGGATAATTTAAAGTAGAATATGGAGAGTTTCTTTAACCAAACTGCTAGAGAAATGGTGATATGTGCTGTGCTCTGAGTCAATCATTTGTGCAAATGTGCCATAACAGAGAATTCAAGTAGATATGGAGGCAGCTATGGGTTTGTTTTTTTTTTTTCATTTGTAGACTAACTGTTGTATACTTATATAATTCTGTGTACATTTGAAAACAAATAAGAACAAATATATTTAAATGATGGGCTAAATTTCCTGAAAACTAAAATGTAATGATGTTTTATATTGTTGTCTTTAAAGAATATCCCAATTCCAACCCTAAAAGATTTTGCAAAGGCTTTGGAAACCAACACACATGTGCAGTGTTTCAGTCTTGCAGCCACACGGAGCAATGACCCCGTTGCTGTTGTAAGTAAGCTACTGTTGACAATACTGAAATTGTGCCTCCATACCAGGGTGTGTTAACTTGGTAGTTAAACTGTGGGGTTTTTTAATTTTGTTTTTTAATATCGGTTTTATTTATTTGAAAGGCAGAATGACAGAGAAGGAGAGACAAAAATAGATTTCCATCCACTGATTCACTCCCCAGATGGCTCCAACGTGCTGAGGCTGGTCCAGGCTGAACAAAGCCAAGAGCCTGGAACTCCATCCTGATTTCCCACGTGGGTGGTGGGGCTCCGACCATCTTTAGTTGCCTTCCCTGGCACACTGGCAGGAAGCTGGATCAGTAGCAGAGCAGCTAGCCCTGGAACTGGCACTCTGTTTGGGATTCAGTATCACAGGCAGTGGCTTAACTTACTCTACCCACAATGCCACCCCCTCTAAGTTGTGATTTTATGAACAATATTCACTCCCCACTATCATTTACTGCCCTTTTTTGTTTATTTTTCCCTGTATTTCCTTCTTGTGAATTTTTAAAATGGGTATAACTGAGTTTTCCAAAACAAATTAATGTAATTATACGCTGTTTACTGTTCTGCAACTTGATTTTTTCTTAATGATATGTCTTAGAGATCTTTCATGTCAGCACATGGAGCTCTACATTCTTTTTTTTTTTTTTTAAGATTTATTTATTTCTTCGAAAGTCAGAGTTACACAAAGAGAGGAGAGGCAGAGAGAGAAAGAGAGAGAGAGAGAGAGAGGTCTTCCATCCAATGGTTCACTTCCCAGATGGCCACAACGGCCGGAGCTGTGCTGATCAGGAGCCAAGAGCTTCCCCCGGGTCTCCCATGTGGGTGCAGGGGCCCAAGGACTTGGGCCATCTTCCACTGCTTTCCCAGGCCATAGCAGAGAGCTGGACTGGAAGTAGAGCAGCCGGGTCTCGAACCAGCACCCGTATGGAATGCCGATGCTTCAGGCCAAGGCATTAACCAGCTGCACCACAGCGCCAGCCCTGAGATCTACATTCTTTTAGCATCTGCAGAGGAGTAATCCTGTTTATGAATCTGTAGTATTAGATTTTCGTCAAATGCTTTTCAACATCTATTGAAATGGTCATGTGTTTTCCCCCCTTCATTCTATTAATATGATCTTTGTATATTAAAGCATCCTTATATTCTTAGACTAAATCCCACTTAATCATATGAATCTTTTCCCTCACTCGGCTATGAATTTCCTTAGGTTTTCCTCCTACCTCATTGGACAGCTTTTCTCAGGTCCCTGTGCTGTTTCCTCCTTATCTCTACAATTTCCTGACATTAGAATGGCCTGAGGGGACTGGCGCTATGGCATAGTGGGTAAAGCTGCTGCCTACAGTGCCAGCATCCCATGTGGGCGCCAGTTCAAGTCTAAGCTGCTCAACTTCTGATCCCACTCTCTACTATGGCCTGAGAAAGCAGTTGAAGATGGCCCAAGTCCTTGGGCCCCCGCACCCACGTGGGAGGCCCTGAAAGGCTCCTGGCTCTTTGCTCCTGGCTTCGGATTGGCACAGCTCCAGCCGTTGCGGCCATCTGGGGAGTGAACCAGCAGATGGAAGACCTCTCTGTTTTTCTCTCTCTGCCTCTCCTCTTCCTCTCTCTATGCAACTCTTTCAAGGAAATAAATAAATCTTTAAAGAAAAAAAAAAAAAAAGAATGTGCTGGGCTTTTCTCTGTGTACACTTACTTCCTGGCTGACCTCATTCTGTTCCATTACTGTATTCTTGTATTATCTGCAAATACTGATGACTGGTGTTATTATCTCCAGTGTGTACATCCCTCCTAAACTCCGTAGTCATGTCCACCTCTCGATAGCTTTTTTTGGGTACCTGATAGACCTCGCGCATCAAGCTCCTGACTTCTGTCCTGTTCCTGCTTCTCTCATATTCTTTTCTAGCTCACTAAATGGCAAAGCCCGTCTTACTGCTCAGGCAGAAAAAGGCTGGGGCTGGGTTGCGGAGGATGTCGGTGAGCTGTTTAACCTCGCAGTTCAGGTTCCTATAACCCATATCAGAGTACTTGGATTTGCTATTTAGCTCTGGCTCCTGGTTTCAGCTTCATGCTGAAGCACATCTTGGGAGGCATTGGTGATGTCTCAGCTGACTGAGTTATTGCCATCCACGTGGGAGACCTGGACTGAGTTCCTGGCTTCTGCCCAGCCCAGCTTGGTCATTGGGGTTATTTAGGGAATGAACCAGTGGGTAGGAGCTGTCACCCTCCCTCTGTCTCTAACTAAAGTTAAATATATATTTTTAGAGGACCCATCCTTGACTTTCCTTTCTCAGAAGCTTAAACATATATTCAGCTCAGTCTCTAAAATACTCCTAGAATCCAACCAGTGTCCACCATTTTCACAACTGCCCACTGGACCTGCACCACCGTCTTCTCTGGCCTTACCACCGTACCACAAGAGCCTCCTAGTGAGCTGTCCTCTTCTGTTACACCCACTCTGCAGCAAATTCTCCACACAGCATCAGCAGTAATTATTTTGAAATTTAGACTAATAAATCACATCATCCTGAGAACCCTCCAGCAGCTTCCTATCTCACTAAGAGTAAAAAAGATCTTTCAATGGCCTTAGAAGGCCTTATGTGAGCGAAAGTCACCTCCTTTACTTGGCCTGTCATTGTACTCCAGCCACACTGCTGTCTTGGTCTTCCTCAAATGGCCTTGCAACATTACATTTTGCTTGCTTGTTTGTTGCTGTGTCCCCTCTCAGAATATAAGTTTCATCAGGTAAGGATCTGTCTATTTTATTTCCGAGTCTCTGGAATAGTCCTTATTGAATCCTCAGTAATATTTAATCAATGTATGTGCAGATGGATAAGGGATTTGTTCCAGGCCACATGGCTAGTTGTTCACAGTTGAAATTACAGGTGATTAGGGGTGGGTGTTGTGACACAGTGGGTTAAGCTGCTGTTTGACATACCCATCTCCTGTATCAGAGTGCCTGGGATAGAGTTCTGCTTCTGCTTCCCAATATAGCTTTCTGATAATGCACACCCTGGGAGGAAGCAATGATGACCCATATACTTGGGTTCCAGTCACTCACACAGGAGACCCAGATGGAGTTCCTGACTCCTAGCTTCAGCCTAGCCTGGCTCTGACTATTACAGGCATTTGTGGATTGAACCAAAGGGTGGAAGATTTTCTGTCTGTCTCTGTCTCTCCCTCTCACACTGCCTATCAAACAAATAAATAAATGAATAAAATTTTATTTTCAAGTACACTTGTGTACATACCTGCATTCCTCCTACTCCCATCTTTAACTTGACTTTAGGCTTGATCTTATGCATATTTTCTGGAAGTTAATACCTTGCTTCTGATCCCTCAAAAGGGCTGTTTTATATAAACTCAAACTCAGTCTTCCCTTCTTTCTCTCCCTCCCCCTCTCTTTGCCTCTCTGTTTTTCCTACTCTCCCCTCCCTTTCCCTCTTCTCTCTTGGTGGTATCTGTTAATTAATTAATATAATGTTCATTAATTACTGATTCAAATGCCTAGCCCTGTACCATATCTGGAGGAAACATACTGGAAGCAGACTGAAGTCATGCCGTCCCTTGGTTTATTTCATATTTAGTTAGTTGCCTCTTCTCCATAGTCCTTCTATTCTGGTTCTGGTTATCTGTGGCCTTTTCTGACCTTCAGGCTTGGGCATTCCTTTTGGTCCCTGCTCTGGAAATCAGTCCATAAGTTAGACTCATTTTGACTTCACAGAAACCCAGTTGCAGCAGAACTCAAATAAGAAAAAAATGTTCCAGAGACATTGATGAAGTTAGTCCTACTAACTGAAAGTGAGAGCTGTAGGAGAAAGAGGCATGAAGTAGGGTATGAATGAACATATGTGAATAGAGGTGGATGTTACAGTGCAGTGGGTTAAGTCGTCCTTGTGGTGATGCTGGCTGGCATCCCATATTGAAATGCTGGTTTGAGTCCCAGCTCCTCCACTTCTGATCCAGCTCCCTGCTAATGCATCTGGGAAGCACCAGATGAGGGTTCAAGTGCTTTAGTCCCTGCCACTCACAAGGGAGACCTGGATAGAGCTCCAGGCTTCAACCTGGACCAGCCTTTCAGCCATTTGGAGAGTGAGCCAGTAAATAGAAGCGCGCGCTCTCTCTCTCGCTCTCTCTTCCCTCTCTCGGTGTGTGGGTGTCACCTTCACCCTACCTTTCAAATAGTTAATAATTTTTGGAAAAAAAAAAAAACCAGCATGAGTGGGAGTAGAGAATGTCACCATCAGAGCATTACACCTCTAAAGATTGGGACAGGGTACACAGGAAGAGTAGACCTGTGAAACCAAGGTGGTGGTGTGTGATGCTGTAACAGACTTATGAGAAACTTCTGGTAATTACTCTTTTTGTTTATGATATATGATTTTTGTTTACAATATATGATAGGCACTACCAAAATTTTAATCTAGAAATATTTTCTTCAATTTCTAGGCTTTTGCAGAAATGCTGACGGTGAACAAAACTTTGAAGAGCTTAAATATGGAGTCCAACTTTATTACAGGAACTGGCATTCTGGCACTGATTGATGCTTTAAAAGATAATGAAACCCTGTCAGAGCTCAAGATTGACAATCAGGTCAGTGCTATGCAGTAGTCGATGTGTGAGACCACTGTGTAGGGCGTGGAGGAAAGCTGTCAAGGAGCCCTTTGGGAAGGTAGGGGCTGAAAGATTAGAGGACATTTGGTGTATGTAGAATATTAATGAATTGAGATCACATGATGTGTGGTCCTTGGTATCTGGCTTCTTTCCCCAGAATAATGCTCTGGAGGCTCATTGATGCTGTGGCATGTATCAGGCCTTTGTTGCTTTCTGTGGCCGCAAAATACTCCATTACATTTGGGGTAGTTCTGCTTCTTGACTGTCAGGAATAATGAAGCTATGGACATTTCATGTACATCTATTTCCATTTCTTAGCATTTATGTAGGAATGGAACTACAGTGTCATGGTAAGTCTGTTTAACTTTTTGAACTGTCACCAAATGATTTTTTACAACCAATGCACCATTTTATATTCCTACCAGCAGTTTATCAGTCCTGATTTTCCATGTTCTTGCCAACATTTAATATTGTCCAACTTTTTGATTGTATTCACCCTGGTATGAAATGAAACACTTTTTGGTGTCTATATGATAGTATACTGAAACAAAATTTTGTTTCTTATATATTTTGTAGAAATTGGGAGAATTCAAAAGAGACCATCAGCATGTGCCTGAATGTCTAAATTTTGATTTACCTTGAAAATGTGTTGATCTATTTCATTAATATTATTTTTTATTTCTAATTATTTCAGAGGCAGCAGTTGGGGACAGCTGTAGAATTGGAAATGGCCAAGATGCTAGAGGAAAATACAAATATTCTAAAGTTTGGCTATCAGTTTACACAGCAGGGACCCCGAACCAGGGCGGCTAATGCTATTACAAAAAACAATGACTTAGGTAAGAGATACACAATGTCAAATTGGGTGTCTGGATTATGTTATGCTAATATAGTGGGGAACTTTTTTTACTTTTCAAAGTAAATTTTAGCAGAAATTGGTTGGCCCTTATTTCGAAAACTTGCACTGCTCTTTTTATGCTGATTCATATTTAAGGTTGATTGTGGATGTGGTCGTCGTCATAATAAAATGAGCTTCTTGTAACAAATGTTACACAGCTTTCAGTGAAGTTTTCTACAAGCAACCACTTTGTTCTCAGTTAAAAATCAAGTCTTGGGGCCAACACTGTGGCATAGAAGGTTAAGCCTCTGCTTCTGGTGCCAGCATCCCACATAAGCTCCTGTTCAAGTCCCAGCTGCTCCACTTCCAATCTAGCTTCCTGTTAATGTGCCTGGGAATGCAGTGGAAGATGGCCCAAGTCCTTGGGCCCCTGAATCCATATGAGAGATCCAGAAGAAGCTCCTGGCTCCTAGGTTGGGCCTAGCCCAGCCCTGGCTGTGGCAGCCATTTGGGGAGTAAACCAGCAGATGGAAGATACCTCTTTCTCTCTCTCTATCGCTCCATTTCAAATAAATAAATAAATCATTTTTTAAAAAATCAGATCTTGTAGCTATTAAAACAAAAATTTCAACGTAAAGCTTTTTGCCCTTTTCATCAAAAAGTGCAAATTTCTATCACCCAGATAAAAATTAAGTATTGTATGATGCAGTATAAAATAATTATAATTTGGGGGCCAGCACTGTGGCTCAGTGGGTTAACGGCCTGGCCTAAAGTGCCGGCATCCCATATGCAGTCCCAGCTGCTTCTCTTCCAATCCAGCTCTCTGCTATGGCCTGGGAAAGCAGTAGAGGATGGCCCAAGTCCTTGGGCCCCTGAACCCACGTGGGAGACCCAGAGGAAGCTCCTGGCTTCGGATTGGCATAGCTGTGGCCATTTCGGCCATCTGGGCAGTGAGCCAGCAGATGGAAGACCTCTCTCTCTCTCTGCCTCTGCCTTTGCCTCTCCTTTCTCTGTGTAACTCTTTCAAATAAATAAATAAATCTTTAAAAAAATTATAAAAGATTTATTTTATTTTACTTGAGAGGTAGAGTTATAGAGAGACAGAAAGAAAGGTCTTTTTTTTTTTTTTTAAAGATTTATTTTATTTATTTGAAAGGCAGAGTTACAGAGAGAGGTAGAGGCAGAGAGGGAGGTCTTCCATCTGCTGGTTCACTCTCCAGGTGGCCACAATGGCCAGAGCTGCACTGATCTGAGGCCAGGAGCCAGGAGCTTGTAGGGGCCCAAGGACTTGGGCTGTCCTCCACTGCTTTCCCAGGCCATAGCAGAGAGCTGAATTGGAAGAGGAACAGCCGGGACCAGAACCTGTGCCCATATGGGATGCCGGCGCTTCAGGCCAGGGCTTTAACCCGCTGTGCCACAGTGTTGGCCCTGAGAAAGGTCTTCTATCTGCTTATTGACTCTCTAAATGGCCCCAAGGGATATAGCTAGGCTGATCCAAAGGCAGGAGTACTTGGAAGACCTTTCTCTCTCTCACTCACTCATTCTCACTCTCACTGTCTAACTCTGTCAAAAAAAAAAGCCAGGAGTTCTTTATGTGTCTCCCATGTGGGTACAGGGTCCTAAGCACTTGGGCCATCTTCTACTGCTTTCCCAGGCCATGACAGAGAGCTGGATGGGAAGAGGAGCAGCCGGGACTCGAACCAGCACCCATATGGGATGCTGGCACCACAGGCAGAGGCTTAGCCACTATGCCACAGCGCCAGCCCCAATGATTATACTTCTATATTTCTATATAAGTTATATATAATTTATCATTTTAATCAAGAGTTTATGGTCCCTGACATACAAGTGTTTGCTTACTTTACTAATTTCCCTCACACAAATGGTAGGGGCCTCTCATCTTCCTGCACACATCTAGGGCAGACAGTTCCCATTCTATTCCTCAGCTTGTGACTTCAGACAGAAGTAAACATTCCAGCAAAGATTGAATTGAATATGCTGCTTACAGGTTTTTCCCACATTTCCAAAAAGTGATTCTCCTTTTAAGTTAAGGTGTTTTCCATTGAAATGTTTTAAAAAAAATTTTTTTTTCTTTATTTGAAAGGCAGAGAGAGAGAGATGGAAAGACATTTTAGAAAAAGAGAGATCTGCCGGCGCCGCGGCTCACTAGGCTAATCCTCCGCCTAGCGGCGCCGGCACACCGGGTTCTAGTCCCGGTCAGGGCGCCAGATTCTGTCCCGGTTGCCCCTCTTCCAGGCCAGCTCTCTGCTGTGGCCAGGGAGTGCAGTGGAGGATGGCCCAGGTGCTTGGGCCCTGCACCCCATGGGAGACCAGGAAAAGCACCTGGCTCCTGGCTCCTGCCATCGGATCAGCGCGGTGCGCCGGCCGCAGCGCGCCGGCCGCGGCGGCCTTTGGAGGGTGAACCAACGGCAAAGGAAGACCTTTCTCTCTGTCTCTCTCTCTCACTGTCCACTCTGCCTGTCAAAAAGAAAAAGAGAGATCTTCATCTGGTTCATTGCCCAGATAGCTGCATCAGCCAAGGCTGAACTAGGCTGAAGCCAGGAGCTTGGAGCTCCACTCTGGTCTCCCACATGGGTGGCAGGGCTTCAAGTACTTGAGCCATCGTCTGCTGCTTCCCAGGCACATTGGCAGGGAGCTGGATCAGAAGCAGAGTATCCAGGACTCAGACCAGCTCTCTAAAGTGGGATGTGGGCATCCCAGGCAGTGGCTTCACCCACTGCACCACCATGCTGGCCCCCACTGAAGTGTTTTAAAAGCTGCACTCTAGACAAGAATAAAAAGACTTCTGAAATGGAGTAGCATTTCAAAGTGATGCATTACTTCTAAGCCTCAGCCATATTTGAGTTTGCGTTTTTTTTTTTTCCTAAAAACTTTATTTATTTGAAAGGTAGAGTTTACAGACAGGGAGAGATATTCTATCTATTGGTTCAGTCCCCAAATGGCCACAACAAAACAACTAAGGCCGGGCCAGGCTGAAGCCTAGAGCTTTATCCAGGTCTCCCATGTAGGTGACAGGGCCCCAAGCACGTGGGCCATATTCTGCTGCTTTCCCAAGTGCATTAGCAGGAAACTGAATCAGAAGTGGAGCTGACAGCTTAACCCACTGCACCACAATGCTAGCCCTGAGTTTGCTTTCTTTTTGAAGTTCTAGAGTAGAAAAAAATACAGCATCATTTATTCTATCTAGATCACTGTCCAAAGTATTCGTTCATATCCTTTCTATCTTTTCTATGACGCAGTTTCCTCTAGAAAATTCTAGCTGCTTATTTTTAACAGAAAATTGGTGTATTTTGGTGATTGTTGATATTAGATGTGCTTTGCAAACCATGCTAATTGTTTTTATATGAGTTCACTCATTAGCTTCTATAGTTTTCCTCCAAGTATTAAATCATTTTATTTAGAATATGACTGAACTTCATAAATGATTAGAGAGTTTCAAAAACATGTACAGTATTATTAGCTTTTCTTCTCTCAGAGATTCTGATTTAGTATTTATTTAGGAAACAGAGTTTCCATCTGCTGATTCACTCCCCAAATGCCCTTAACGGCCAGAACTGGTCTGGGACTGAAGCCGAGGACCAGGAATACAGTCCAGGTCTCCCACATGAGTGGCAGGAACCCAGTCACTTGAGCAATCACCATTGTCTCCCAGGACTTGTGTTGGTGGAAAGCTGGAGTCGAGAGCCAGAGCTGGGAATTGAAAAACGCATTCCAGTACGCAATCTGGGTATTCCAGTCACTAGGCTAAACATCCATTCTGGCATTTGTACTTAAAAAAAAAAAAAAAAAAGTGTTTATTTGGCTGGCGCCATGGCTCACTTGGTTAATCCTCTGCCTGTGGCACCGGCACCCCAGGTTCTAGTCCCAGTCGGGCCACCGGATTCTGTCCCGGTTGCTCCTCTTCCAGTCCAGCTCTCTGCTGTGGCCAGGGAGTGCAGTGGAGGATGGCCCAAGTGCTTGGGCCCTGCGCCTGCATGGAGACCAGGAGGAAGCGCCTGGCTCCTGGCTTCATATCGGCGCAGCGTGCCAGCCGTAGCGGCCATTTGGTGGGTGAACCAGCGGAAGGAAGACTCTCTCTCTCCACCTCTCTCTCTCACTGTCTAACTCTGCCTGTCCAAAAAAAAAAAAAAAAAAAAATTATTTTATTTATTTGAAAGAGTTACACAGAGAGGTCTTCCATCCGCTAGTTCACTCCCCAGTTGGCCACAACGGCCAGAGCTGTGCCAATCCAAAGTCAGGAGCCAGGAGCTTCCGGGTCTCCCATGCGGGTGCAGGGATCCAAGGACTTGGCCCATCTTCCAGTACTTTCGCAGGCCACAACAGAGAGCTGGATCAGAAGTGGAGCAGCTGGGACTCGAACTGGTGCCCTATGGGATTCTAGCACTGAAGGCAGTGGCTTTACCCACTATACCATAGTGCCAACCCTGAATCTGCAGCTCTTTTAAACCATGCCTGAAATATAGTGGCCACTTAATAAAAGTGTGTTAAGTGGATAAATAAGATGATGGAATTTGAACCCTGTTCAAAGTTACTATTTCTCTTCTCTGAAACTACTTTAACAAAATCTGAGAATGCTACTTACAAACTTGCCACCTGAATCTTCCCAGCAGGCAGATATCCCAGCAGCTGTCCCTGTAGGAACTGCACAAAGCCGCTGAGTGTCACGGCAGGCATGCCAACCCTTGCAAGGCCCCTCTTGTGCCAAGCCTAGTGTGGTAGGCGCCTTGGCCAGATTTCTGTAAGGAAACAAATGTCGAGTGTTGAGAGTTGGGGAGATTTGGGCTGATGGACAAAGGAGAAAACAGATGAAAACCGTTTCCTAGGCTGCTTTGTGCTGGTGTGGAGCAGGTGAGTAGCTGTCCAGAGCAGAGGGTTTTAAAGCATGAGGAGGCCCTGTTAAAGAAGGTGTGAAGGAAACACACAGCCTGTGCTGGGGCCTCTCTAGATTCCCACTCAGGCTGTTGTTTTCTGCTCCAAACTAAATTTTCAAACCTGGGTCTCCGGCATGAAATGACAATAAGGACATTCCCAGGGTAGGGGATTTCGTGGATAAAGCTCAGATATGAGATTAAACAAGTTATATATCTGCTGAGAACGGCCTGCATATTTTGAGAACTGACTCTCAGCATGGTGCTGGGTCCAAAATAAAGCTCCCAGAAGTGCTTATTTGAAGCTAACCAGAGAAGAAAGGTCATGTCCACAGATTAGGAAGAAGAGCTGATAGAAGACACTATAATGACAAGGCAGAAAACTAAGGTTTCTCTGGGTTTTATGCTGGAGGTATTTGAGAGCTGTTGAAGGCCATTGAATGCGTGATTTAAGGTGTTAACTTAAAGTATGTTGATTACTCTTTTTTTTTTTTTTATTTGAAAGAATTATACAGAGAGGAAAGGCAGAGAGAGAGAGAGGTCTTCCATCTGATGGTTCACTCCCCAATTGGCCGCAATGGCTGGAGCTCCGCCGATCCAAAGCCAGGAGCCAGGAGCTTCCTCCGGGTCTCCCACATGGGTACAGGGGCCCAAGGACTTGGACCATCTTCTACTGCTATCCCAGGCCATGGCAGAGAGCTGGATGGGAAGTGGAGCAGCCAGGACTAGAACTGGCGCCCATATGGGATGCCGGCGCTTCAGGCCAGGGTGTTAACCCGCTGCACCACAGTGCTGGCCCCTATTACTTTATTTATTTATTTATTTATTTATTTATTTTATTTTGACAGGCAGAGTTAGACAGTGAGAGAGACAGAGAAAGGTCTTCCTTCCGTTGGTTCACCCCTTAAATGGCCATCACGGCCGGCGCTGTGCGGATCTGAAGCCAGGAGCCAGGTGCTTCCTCCTGGTCTCCCATGCAGGTGCTGGGCCCAAGCACTTGGGCCATTCTCCAATGCCCTCCCAGGCCACAGCAGAGAGCTGGACTGGAAGAGGAGCAACCAGGACAGAATCCAGCACCCCAACCGGGACTAGAACCCGGGGTACTGGCGCCGCAGGCAGAGGATTAGCCAAGTGAGCCGCAGCGCTGGCCGCCCCTATTACTCTTAATAATATAAAATGAAGTTAGGATTTATTGGCAATTGATGATGAAGTTTTGAGGATTTATAATGGTAGAATGGAGTTTTGAAAAAAATTTGACCATACCCAGAGATTGTTAATAAGACAAAATTTACAAGCCTATCATGTAGAGGATGGCCTGAAATGAGGAAGGTGAAGTGTGGACACAGGTGAGAAGTAGGAGTCGTCGCCCTCCGCTGCTCTGTGTGTGTGTGGCAGCGCCGGTGGCAGCCTCCCGTCCATCCAGTCTCGGCTTGATTCTGTTTTCCACCACACACTGACCTCTGCCGTGTAGATCAAGGTGGAAAGCCCGAGGACTGTGTCTCCTGACATGCAGGTTTCTGCAGCCTGAAATGTAGTAACTTGAAAGATATCAGAGAGTAAGACTTGAAACTTGTACAGAATCTCTTAGGCATATAATCTTTCTTCAGCTTGCAAATGGGACTGTATCTCATCTTTGGTACACTTATATTGGTAACATCATTCCCTCTCCTTGTTTTCCTAGTCTCAGCTATTCGTTGAAATAATTCTGCCTACTCTCTCAAGAAGTGTCAGCTGTAACAGCAGAGAGATTCTGTGGTATACAAGTAATGTTCAGTCGAACTTTGAGTCTCATGTGAATCTCTACACCAGCTAACTACATAATCAATTTTCTACACCTTTTTTGCTTGCTACACTCTCCTATAGATCTTGTTTCTAACATGTATTTTTTATAGCATGCATTTTAACATCTGAATTGGCCTGCCAATAACATTTAAAACCTGCTGCAATTCAAGACTTTCTTTGAAATATTCTACCTTAGAAGATTATTTGATATTTGCCTTTCAGATATTTCTCAGCTCAATATATATGAGTTAAGTTTGTACTTAAGAACTCAAGTGTCCGTTTGATTTTTCACTCCTTGTTATTTCAGTAAACATGAAGTTTGTCCTTAGCATGGATTTAAATCAAAGTTAAGGGTGAAAAATATTCCTGCAAACCAGTGGCGGGAACACGTTGCTCCAGTGTCTGGTCTCATCAGTTAAAGGCCTCCAGACAAGCCTGTGGGCACGCCCGCTGGCTCCTAGCTCCTCTGTCAGACTGCCAGTGTTGGCTGAATAAAGGTGCAGTTGCTTTCCTGCTTGAATCTGTAGACAGAAGAAAGCAGGAAACTAATAGACCAGCAGCCTGGCTTCAAGGAATTTACTGGGGAAAATAGCAAAACCAGTAGCACATAAGTACGAATCCTCTGCAATAGCAAATGGCTTTCCTTATCTTGAAAAAGCCTCTGAGCGGGCCGTCTGGAATCCCCAGCCTGGGGAAGGTGACGTTGAACACTGTTTAGGAAAGCCTTCCCGTGTCCTTAGAACTACACGGGGCAGTGTATTGCGCCTTGCAAGTCACAGCCATCAGCTACAAGTGTCATCATTCTGTTACCGAGGATGAGTTGAGACAGACAGGTTAAGTCAGCCAAGTATGGACTACAGAAGACAGAGAACCACTGTTCATCCAGCTTTGTCACTGACCCTGGGCCTTGTGCTGTTTATCCTTGCTGAATGGGAATTGGCCACAACACTGATGAGCCCTGAGGTGGTGGCTGTCAGCAGCTGCTCTCTGGGGGCTGACAGGTGAGAGCACAGGTAGCAAGGCACTGAAGGTGAAGGCCTTCCCCTGCCTCCAGCGAGCACAGCTGAGGGTTTGGCATCCGAGCCTGTAAAAAGACCAAGAATCCCTGGATACGCCCCTTTCTTTACTCCATCAATTCAGTTAGTTGGCTGGCTACTTTGGCAGCCAAAGTTTGTGATAGTCAGAAGTGACCCCACCACGTTACAAGAGTCTGAGATTTTCATTACACTGCATTTGTTGTTTTGTAGGAGACAAGAGAAGGAAAACTTGGAAAGCAGTGGCAAGTCACTTAGCTTTAAGCTGACAGAAGTGCTTGTGGTCTGTTCTTTCACAGACGAAGAAAGTGGTCTGTTGTAGTCTGATCAGGAGAGCTTGCAGGTGCAGGTGGGACCAGAAGTGTTTCAGATTTCAAAGCTTTTCTTTTACAGTAATTAGTATGGGCTTTACTCAGAATCTGAAACTTTGAGCACCAGTAGTGCTCATTTAAGATTGTCGATTTTCAGATGTGGGATGCCCAGCCTGTAGTTATTTTTCATACTCTCTAACACCAATCACCTGAACATCATTCCAGAACTTAGCACAGTAATTTATTGATCATTTTGTTCAAGCCTTGGTAAACATTTTGTCAATAAACATGACTGGAAGATGACTGCTGAGCTTAGATTTCTGATGCAGCTGCTGTGTAAGCACAGGTGGGAGTCAGGGAGCTTAGGTAAGTAGTTCTTGGCTGCGAAGCCCCACAGTTCTCAGTAGGTGAATGACAGGAAATTGGTTTTCTTTACTAATGGTCATGTGAACTGGAAATGAACATTTTACTTTTGTAAGACTAACGAGTATACCGAAACTTGTTTGTTACCAGCAAGTTAACATTATAAAAACTGATAGCAATTTCTGACATTTTCCCATTATCTTTCTCATAGTACGCAAGAGACGAGTTGAAGGAGACCATCAGTGAGTCCACCAAGGTGTGGTCCTGGAAGACTTCAGAAGATCACCGGGGGCTCACGTTGGTGACAGCTGAAGTAACATTTTCCTGGGTAGAAGGGAAAAGACTGGAAAAACTTATTTTTAATTACATCTTTTTTTCCTAGTTTAAGTCGTTTTCAGTTTCAAATTGTAAAATCAGCAGTAGGTGGTATTTTATATCTTGAAACATTTCTACTTTCTATTAAAATAATTAGCCTTAATGATTTATAATGAGTCTTAGGCAAAAAATACTTGTACAGATGTTTCAGAAACCATTAATGTACAATAACGTTTTGAGGACCAATCTTTTTTAAAAATCAAAAAGGGACTTTGCCGATGTCAATTGCTTTTGCTTTCTTTGGGCATAAAGCTTTCTTTATTCCATGGCCTGGAGACTTTTCTTTTTTTTTTTTGACTACGTGATCTTGGCAATGGTGTGTTTTTTCCTTATCATGAAAAAAACACACCAGAATTTTTGAAGACTGGTGACTCAATCTGGTCGTCTGCGGAGGAGCCGAATCAGATCTCCAGGGAGAAAGCCGGGCCCTCTGTGCGTTCCCAGGAACTGCACTTGTCGCTGTGGCTTAGCACCCAGGTCTGTCTCAACGTCGTCAGCCTGTCCAGGTCACGTACCTCGCTTAAAAGGATAGCTGTGTCTAAGTTCATCACAGGTTTTCATTTTAATAATGTGGGCATTGTTAAATTTTTGTGGAAGCTAACAGTAAAAAGCATCTGAGTGCAAAAGCTGTTTTTCTTTTCCATAAAAGGGCATATGACCAACTCTTAGTTATTTAGGATAAAAGGAAAAAAAAAGCTGCTGTTAAACACATGAAGTCAAAGGTAACAAATATGATGCAGTTTAAATCTGAGGAGCTTGCAAAAGCGTCATTGAAACTGCTGGTCAATAAATAATAATGGGCATGTATATAAATTACTTGATATTACATAGCATAAACAAAAGGTCTTATATGAACAGTGTTTAATCTCCACTACAAATTTTCTAACAAATAAAGAAAATTGATGTTCTCCATAATCTGACTTTTGATACACATTTCCTTTTATATTTGTCCAGATCGTGTGTGTAAAAGTCATTTCTATAGGAAGAGTGCTCCAAGTATTAAAGTGAACAATGGAACAGTGTGCCACTGTGGGCTAGCCCTGAGTGAGACAGGGCCCTGTAGTCATGCCCTAGGGCCAGCCCATGGAGCAGAGCTGGCAAAGGCATTCATAGCTACCAAGAGAGGGAGGGAAGGAATCCAGTAACCCTTGCCTCGAAATTAAGAAGAATTTACAGGGAGGTTTAAGTCTTAAGAAATTAACTTGCAAAGTGTCTGCTGCTTCAGCTTGGGTCAGGTAATTTATATAACGAAATGGGCAGCTGCTTGCATGCTATGGTAATAAGCCTTTTTTTTTTTTTTTTTTTTTTTTGACAGAGTGGACAGTGAGAGAGAGAGACAGAGAGAGAAAGGTCTTCCTTTGCCGTTGGTTCACCCTCCAATGGCCGCCGCTGCAGCCGGCGCACCGCGCTGATCCGATGGCAGGAGCCAGGATCCAGGTGCTTTTTCCTGGTCTCCCATGGGGTGCAGGGCCCAAGCACCTGGGCCGTCCTCCACTGCACTCCCTGGCCATAGCAGAGAGCTGGCCTGGAAGAGGGGCAACCGGGACAGAATCCGGCGCCCCGACCGGGACTAGAACCCGGTGTGCCGGCGCCGCAAGGTGGAGGATTAGCCTATTGAGCCACGGCGCCGGCCGGTAATAAGCCTTCTTAACAGGGTAACGCTTCCCTTATAAGGGCTGTGGTGTGTTGGTTTTGTTTTTAAATCAATAGCCGGTGATTTAAAGTGGCCAGAGACTCACATTATACTATTCCCCTTTAGGTCAAGGCCCCTGGTTTCTTTTCGGATTAGCAAGGCTCACTTGCTTGTTCGCTTGCCTGCCTGCCTTCTTTCTCTCTTTCTCCCTCCCTCTCTCACCTTCCTCTCCAACTCATCTTTCTTTTTATATACAACTTTTAAGTCGTACTTGGTTTTGTAGAGCCAGCACAGTTCCCACAGGTTGGGAGTCAGGTGTGGAGCGGGTAACTAAGTAAGGCTTCCAGAAAGAATTGGTCACTTTTACTTTCAGCCAGGCCTTATTTGAATATCCTGTAAGTCAGGAAATTGATAAATGGGGCCCCCTTCCTCCCATAATTTTTAAAGTAGTAGTAGTAGTATAAGTAAGAGGGGCCCTACCTAGAATTTTGCATCATACTTATAGGCAATATCTTTTTCACTTATTATTTATCAAAGTATGAAGAAGTTGCATATTTTGCTTGTACCATTCCAGTTCTGTGCTAGAATATAGTTTGTTATATAATTGAAGAAAATATTTCTTCATAAGTAAGTTTAAATATGGACATTGGTCTAATTGAATATAGAAAATCAAGAATTGTAACAGAAAAATGGTGTTTACTTTGTTCTTTAAAAATGTGGCACCTTGGGGCCGGGGATGAGGCATAGTGGATTAAGCCTCCGCCTATGGCGCTGGCATCCCATACGGGCGCTGGTTCGTATCGTGGCTGCTCCTCTTCCAATCCAGCCCTCTGCTTATGGCCTTGGGAAGCAGTAGAAGATGCCTCAAGTGCTTGGAACCCTGCACCCACATGGGAGACCCAGAAGAAGCTCCTTGCTTTGGATCAGCCCAGCTCCAGCTGTTGCAGCCATGTGGGGAGTGAACCAGCAGATGGAAGACTTTTCTCTCTGTCTCTCACTCTCCCTGTCTGTAACTCTACCTCTCAAATAAATGAATAAATCTTAAAAAAAAAAAAAAAAAGAAAAGAAAATCTGTCACCACTTAGCTTTTTAGTAAAAACTTCAATATTTCTAAATTGCTCTAAGATTTTATAATGCAGTAAGTTTTTTATGATTTTGAAATAATCTGGATTTTTAAGTCAAAGATTTAATGAGATTTAAGTTTTATAATCTAACCCATTTAAACTTACCTGGTTATCTAAAAATTATTTGCATTTTTAAATTGCTACTTTTAAAAAGGTTTTAATTACCCATTTCATAAAATTTTATATTTGTCTGGAGTTCTAATTTTTTCCAGCATGTGCACATGAAATTTTATGTTATAATTTCAATATTAGTGGCTAATACAATAATACCAAATGCATTTTGGTGCTATATACTTGCAGCTAATGCCTCATGGACGCCTAAAAGAACAGGTGAAAAGAATTTTCTAAGAGTGCCTGTCATTAAAAAGACCAAATAAACATTTTGTATTAAGTAAATTAGCAGATAGTAAGAGATTTCAGGAAGAATTATCTTGGTCATTAAATTATAAATTCTTGTTATCTAAATGAAATCGTCTGCATGATTACTTTGTACAAGAGGCACACTCTGGAAAGACGTTTTATGTAAATAGAACTTTGTAAATTGTTTTCCACTTGACCAGTTATCTGATGTGTTTTCATTTAAAAGGGGAATTCATGATATAATAAAGATTATAAAAAAAGTTTTGATAAAATATTTGTATTCTATCGTATGCTATATTTAACCATTGCCACCATTAAAATAAGATGAAGGAATTAATGGAATTTCTTAAAATCTTAGGTTTTCAGCTCTGTGCTCCTAGGGCTGTCTGACTTTTTGCCTGTAAAATCAGAAACTCTTGTTACTTCCCAGCAGGTCTGAGGATCATGCTTCCTCTGCTGTCCTCTGCAGGATCAGTACTGTCCAGCTTTTCCCCTTCATTGCAGCGCTACTCAGTTTTTGAATAGTGTTGACTGGAGACAGGGCACCCAAGAGAACGGAACACACAGTGTGTGAGAGACCTCTCCTGCTGCTGCTGTCAGATGAGGGGTGTGAGTGCTTCTCCATCAGTGCTCATTGATCATTAATGTTCCTAGATACTTCTCACCCTAAGACTTGCTTACCAAGCTAATCAAAGAGAATCTGTGCTAATTACTTTTAAATTGAAGAAAATAGTACTGATAGGCATGTTTTAGTTTGTTCGTTCTGATCCCATATTGATTATCCTCTCCTATAATTCTGTTCCATAAATTGTTTTCTATAAAAAATCAGACAATTTGGAAATTTATGTAATAAGACACAGTGTTTTGTTAATTTTAAACTCCATCTTGCTATCTGATTATTCAAAGTGTTCTGAGGATTACCTTGGAAAAAAGCCATTACTTAATAAAGGATTACAACCCTTTACCAAGTATTTTGGAAAACTCATTTAATATGTAAAGAATTTGACTTGGGACACTAGCTGTCGCGGCTAGGTAAGGATAGGTTGTGGCAGGCAGGCCATTGGCCTACCAGTGAAGATGCCCCTTTGGTCACCCATATCCCATGTTGCAGTGCATAGGTCTGAATGCTGGCTCCACTCCCACGTCCAGCTCTCTGCTCCTGCTCACCCTGGCAGACAGCAGGTGGTGAGTTCACGTGATTGGGTCCTCACCACCCGCATGGGAGACCTCGGCTGTGTTCGTTGGCTCTTGGCTTTGACCTGGTCCAGCCCTGGCCATTGTAGACATCTGGGGAGTGAACAAGCAGATGGGAGCTCTTTCTGTCTCTCTGCCTCTCAAATAAAACAAATTTTAAAAATCTTTAATAAATTGTACCACTAAGAAACACCGCTAGCCGTGTTTTGTTAACTATTATAACTTCATATTTGATAATCAGATACCCTTAGAGTCTGCACATATGGTTTTACTGTTTTCTTTAATCATTGAGTTTTAATTGATGAAAAGCAGTTACTACTAGTTTAAACTCCACCTCCACTCAAGTTTTTCATTCAGTTTCAAATATTTAGATTTCTGTTTAAGAATTGTTTTTTAAAATATACATAGCATAAAAATCTTCGTAATTCTATTTTAAAAAATATTTATTTGAAAGGCAGGGTTACAGAAAGAGAGAGGAAGAGACAGAGAAAGAAATCTTCGATCCCCTGTTTCACTTCCCAGTGGCCACAATGGCTAGGGCTGAGCCAGGCCAAAGAACTCGCATTTGAGTCTCCCACGTGGGTGGCAGGGGTCCAAGCACTTGGGCCATCCGTTGTTTTCCCAGACACGTTAGCAGGGAGCTGGAACAGAATTGGAGCAGCCGAGACGCCAGCATCACAGTCAGTGACTTAACCTACTATGCCACAATGATGTCAGCTCCTTTGTAGTTTGAAGTAAATACCTACTTTTTTTTTTCCTTTCCAGTCTTTGGGTGAATTACATTTGGTTTTGGTTATGGTTAAAAGGTTGAACATTGCCTGTGTAACCATGCATTAGTCATTGTTATGTGAAGTTAGATATTTAAATACTTTTTTCTAATGCTAAAGTACTATAAATGAGTTATTTTTCCAATTTTTGAGTATAAAAGCAGTGAATTTTATAATATTGATATTTAGTACTAAAAACATTGTCAACCCAGTTTATAACCGCATTGAAGTTTCTTTTGAAGATCATACTCTATGGGCATGTAAAACTGAACCACCGTATAATGCAATAATTTTAATTAATAAAGTCACATATCCTGTAGACTTGAATACTTTTTGAAAATGCGCACAATCCCTTTAGTTCCTGTGTCCTGAAGGTCATTGCTTACATCCCTCTTGAAGAACAAGCTTGTTAATTTCTCAAGGTTATTTTGTCTTGTGTGTTACCAACTAAATGTATCCCTCCAAAAACTCAAGCGCTAACCCACCAAAATGATGGTTTTGGGAGAAAGGGCCTCTGGGAAGTGTGATTAGGGTTAGGTGGGGTGGGCTTCCTGATGGGCTGTGAGGGTGGCAGTCTGCAGGCCCGGAAGGGAGCCCTCCTCAAGAACCAACCCTGGATGGCGGACTTCACAACCTCCAGGAATGTTCAAGACCCAAATTTCGGTTATTCAGGCCACTCAACCTTTTTTCCTTCCTGAGAACAGTTCATGCTGATGCAGCACCCTGTGAGGCTGAGCCTTGTAACATTGTCAGTAGTTGACCCTTTTCCCCATAGAATTAGTATTCTATATGGTTTCATCTAACATCGGTACTCGGTGTTGTCCATAAAATTGAATTGAGTTTGCAGATCCGCAGCAGCAGGGTTCTGTGATGCAGGCCCCTATGGATCTGATGGGAGCCAGTCCTGCTAATAACAGGAGGCGCTATTTACAGTAAAGCAAAAACCTCTCCTAGCAATCACTGATACCCACCAACCAGAAGGAAAAGTTGGCTTGGGGACACTTTCAGGGATAAATGCCAAATTCAGTGAAGATTTTTCAGCATTTTCTTACCTTAGAGAAATAGTAATTTCCCTGGATCTTTAATGTTGCTTGGCCTTCCGAGGATGCGTGGTGGGCTTCACATGAACACACAGGAAGCCTTCTTGCCTGTGCCCATAGCCCAGTCGGGAGGCTCCCCCTGACCCCAGAGGACTTGAGGGCCAGGCAGGAGCTGTAGCTGTGGAGAGACTGGGCCCTCACTGAGTCCTCCAGAGTGGCCCAGTTAGAAACGCTCTGCCTGGGGGCACCCTGTTCTTCTAGGCACCGAACTGCAGGGTTAGCTGATCACAGGGGATCCAAAATCACCAAGCATTGTTTTCCTTCAAATGTTAGGCTTTCCAGAATGGTCTGCCAGAACTGAGGACACAGCTTCACAAATATGCAAGGACCTCAAGACCAGCCCCATAAAAGGAGTCTGAGCTTACAGTTCAATGGCCACTCCCTCTTAGTGTTCCCAGTGAGTCTAAACTCCCTTCTGTACACTTGATCTTAGCCAAAAGGCTGAGAAGCGATTAAATTCCCTTTAAAGGAGCTGATGCTGACAGTGAAGTGTTTGAAGCATGAAATTAATGCTGTGAAATTGGGGTCGGTGCTGTGGCGAAATGGGTTAACGCCCTGGCCTGAAGCGCTGGTATCCCATATGGGCGCCGGTTCAAGTCCCAGCTGCTCCACTTCCGATGCAGCTCTTGGCTATGGCCTGGGAAAGCAGTGGAAGATGGCCCAAGTGCTTGGGCTCCTACACCTGTGTAGGAGACCCGGAAGAAGCTCCTGGCGTCTGGCTTTGGGTTGGTGCAGATCCGGCTGTTGCAGCCATCTGGAGAGTGAACCATCGGATGGAAGACCTCTCTCTCTCTCTGCTTCTCCTCTCTCTGTGTAACTCTGACTTGCAAATAAATAAATCTTTTTTAAAAATGCTGTGAAATTATAAAAGGGAAGGAAACCGTGTAAATTGGAGTTTTCTGTAAGGTAAGAAAATGTGCTTTTTTTGTCTTTGATCATTTCTATTTAACCACAAAACATGTAGAAGATTACTTAGTCTTCAACTCTTTGAGGCTGGTAAATGAGAACCTCAGCCCGTGAAGGCTTTACGCGGTGAAGTCTGAGCTCCCCTGCTTGAGGGAGGTTACATGACTTGCGCATGGTGCTACCACTGGTTTGTTCCTTCAGCGTGTACCCACTGGGTGCCCGTTAGGATCCAACTACTGTGGCAGTGCAGAGCTACAGAGAAATCTCGTACAGTAGTCTGCGCTTACCCATGGTTTTGCTTTCCACAGTTTATGGTTAGAAAATGCTAGTATTTGTCTTTTTTTTTTTAAGAGAGATTTATTTATTTATTGGAAAAACAGAGGAGAGGGAGAGAGCGAGCTTCATCCTCTGGTTCATTCCCCAAAGGGCTGCAAGAGCCAGGGCTGGACCAGGCTAAGGCGAGGAGCCAGGAGCTTCTTCAGGTCTCCCACATGGTTGGCAGGGGTCTAAGCTCTAAGGCCATCTTTGACAGCTCCCATGTAGGATGCTGGCGCTGCAAGTAAGTGGTGGCTTAAACCACTGTGCCACAATGGCGGTCCCTACCCACTGGTGGTCTTGAAATATATCCTCCATATGTGAGGGGGACTACTCTATTTTGACCTGTTCTTTTCCCTAAATCTAGTGGGACCTGTTTATCAGATAGATACTCATATTTTGGGTATCTGTCCCCAAAGGGTCATTAATATATCTACGCATTGTTAGGATTGCTATGCATGTAGGAGCCTAACTCTTGCTTCAAAAACAAAGTGTTGGGGCCGGCTCTGTAGCATAGTGGCTTAAACCCTGGCCTGCAGCACCAGCGTTCCATATGGGCGCCTGTTCAAGTCCCAGCTGCTACACCTCCCATCCAACTCCCTGCTAATGTGCATGTGCAAGCAGCAGAGGATGGCCCAAGTCCTTGGGCCCCTGCACCCATGTGAGAGACCAAGAAGAAGCTCCTGGCTTCTGATCAGCTCACCTCTGGCCATTGTGGGCATTGGGGAGTGAACCAGCAGATGGAAGACCTCTCTCTCTGTCTCCACCTCTCTCTAACTTTCAAATTTTTAAGTTTTTTTTTTTTTTTTTTTTTTTTCCTGAAAGAAACAGAGCTCCCATCTGCTGATTCATTCCCAAAATGTTCACGACAGTTGGGGCCAGTTTTGAAGCCAGGAGCTGGGAATGCAATCCAGATCTCCCCTGTGGGTGGTCGGCACCCAGTAGCTTGAGCCATCACTGCTGCCTCCCAGGCACTGCTTCTGCAGGAGGCTGGGTTCAGAAGCCCAAAACAGGAACTGAACTTGGATTGAGATGTGTCATAACTGTTAGGCTGAACACCCATCTCAATTTTTTCTTTTCAATTGTTTACCTAAAGATGTCTGCACAGAGGTCTTAAGCTCCAACTTCCACATATCTGAAATGAAAACAAACGCACCTGTCCCTGAAGGGATTGTGAAGAGTAGACATGGTAAGGCCCACTCATCATGTGGGAGAGCACTCGGGGTCCAGTGAGCGTGCCTGTGGGTCCTGCTCTTCCAAGGTCAAGGTGCCAGGTGGAACATGGAATTAATGCCTGTCAGGGGACTACAGAGCACAAGAGATCCCAAGGCCAGCAAGGCAGGCCAGGGAGAGTGCCCCGAAGGAGGCCACACCTGGGCCAGCAGGAGGGGAGTGGTGCAGGGCAACCAGAATGCACCAAAACCTCAGACCCACCCTGAGTAAACACTTAGCAAAATGTCATTGGAGGAAAATGGATTTTCTCAAGCCGCAGATGAGCTTTTGAACTTTTTTTTTTTTTTTAAAGATTTTATTTACTTATTTGACAGAGTTATAGACAGACAGAAGGGTCTTCCTTTTCCGATGGTTCACTCCCCAAATGGCTGCTACGGCCCGCACTGGGCCAATCCAAAGCCAGGAGCCTCCTCCTGGTCTCCCATGGTGTGCAGGGCCCAAGCACTTGGGCCATCCTTCGCTGCACTCCCGGGCCACAGCAGAGAGCTGGCCTGGAAGAGGGGCAACCGGGACTAGAACGAGCGGCCATATGGGATGCCGGCGCCGCAGGCGGAGGATTAGCCGAGTGCGCCATGGCGGCGGCCCCTGAACATTTTTTTTACTCACAGGATGATGCAAAAGCAAACTGGTTTACTTCAATCAATTTTGAAAGCTTTTAATTGGCATAAAATTGTGTTTGTTGAGGTTGGCCTGGCAGTGAGCATCTGCTGGGATGGCCACATCGCACATTGGAGCGTCTGCGGTGCCCAGCTGTGTCTGATTCCATTCTGGCAGTGCAGGCCCTGGGAGATGGCAGGTGATGGCTCAAGTAGCTGTGTCCTTCTACACACGGGGGACCTGTACTGAGGTCCTGGCTCCCAGCTTCAACCTGGGCCGTCCCTGACTTGTGGGCACTTGGAGAGTGAACCAGCCGATGACTGGAGCTCTGTCTCTGCCTCTCAAAAAAAATGATAAAAACCATGGATTCACGGGCTTCCATGTGATGTCTCAGTGTGTGTACACTTCAGTGAAATCATCTCATACTAAATTGCACATGAGTGAGATCCTGCAGCACTTGTCTTCCTGGCCTAGCTTATTTTATGTAGCATAATGACCTCCAGGTCTATTCACATTGCTGCAAATGACAAAAGTTCATCCTTTTAAAAAAATTATTTGAAAGGCAGAGTTACAGAGAGGAAGAGACAGAGATCTTCCATCTGCTGATTCACTCCCCAAATGGCCACAACAGTCAGGACTGGCCAGGCCAAAGCCAGGAGCCTGGAACTCCATCCAAGTCTCCCAAGTGGGTGGCAGGGCCCTGAGTACTTGGGCCATCCTCCGCTGCTTTCCCAGGCACATTAGCAGGGAGCTGGATCAGAAGTGGAGCAACAGGAACTGGAACTGGCAGTGAACATGGGATGCCAACGTGGCAAGCCATGGCTTAACCCACTGCACCATAACGCCTGCCCCAGATTTTATTGGTTTTGTTTGAATAGTATTCCACTGTGTGCGTGTATCACATCTTCCTTCTTTAGTCATCATTGGATGGGCACTTCGGTTGCTTCCATTTCTTGGCCACTGTGAATAGTGTTGGCAGCAATTGCGAGGCTGCAGGTGTAACTGAGTGATTTCGTTTCCCTTGGATGTATATATACCCAACAGTGGGGATCATACGGTAGTTCTAATTCAAGATTTTGGAGGAAACGTCTTGGGTTCTTCGTAGTGACTGCACCAGCTTTCATTCCCGCCAGCAGTGTCTAAGAGACCCGTTCTCTCCATATCCTCACCAGCACCTGGTATCAGTTGTCTTTCTGGTAACAGACAATCTAAGGAGAGCAAGGTGATCGCTCATTGTGGTTCTGACTTACAGTTCTCTGATCATTAATGCCCATACTACCCAAAGCAATTCACAGACTCAATGCAATCTCTGTCAAATACCAATGACATTTTCTAACTAGAACACGACTAAAATCCTTGTGGATGGCCGGCGCCGTGACTTACTAGGCTAATCCTTTGCCTGCGGCGCTGGCACCCCGGGTTCAAGTCCCGGTTGGGGCGCCAGATTCTGTCCCGGTTGCTCCTCTTCCAGTCCAGCTCTCTGCTGTGGCCCGGGAAGGCAGTGGAGGGTGGCCCAAGTGCTTGGGCCCTGCACCTGCATGGGAGACCGGGAGGAAGCACCTGGCTCCTGGCTTCAGATCGGCACAGCACACCGGCCGTGGCGGCCCATTTGGGGAGTGAGCCAATGGAAGGAAGACTTTTCACTGTCTAACTCTGCCTGTCAAAAGAAAAAAAAAATCCTTGTGGAACCACAATGGACCACAAATAGTCGGAGCAATCTTGAGTAAAAAATACAAAGGAAACATTACATTACCTGCCTTTAAAATATATTTAAAAGCTACAGTAATTAAAACAGCATGGTATTGGCATAAATACAGATAAATGGAACAAAACAGACTCTTAGAGGTAAATTAATGCATCTCCAGCCAACTGATTTATCTTTAACAAAAGTGCTAAGAACACACATTGGACAGAGGATCGTCTTCACAATAAAAGGAACTGGGAAAATTGGATATCCCACGCACAGGAATGAAACCAGACGTCTTTCTCCCACCATGTACGACAATCAGTGCAAAATGGACTGAAGACCTATTATACGTAAAACCTTGCAACGACTAGAAGATAATATAGGGGGAAAGCCTTAGGAGATTGAATGAGTAAGGATTTTTGGATCAGATCCCAAAAGCACCAAAAACAAGCAAAAATAGGCAAATGAGATTTCATCAACCTGAAGAGCTTCTATACGGCAAAAGATAAGAGTGAAGAGAAAACCTACAGAATGGAAGAAAATATTTACACATAATTTTGCCTCAGACAAGAGGTTCATAACCAGAATATAGAAAGGACTCAGCTGAACAGAAAAAAAAAATGGGCAGTAGATCTGAACAGGTAGCTCTCAAAGGAGAATACACACACGGCCAACAGATACATGAAAAAAATCCTCGTTTTTAAAGGAACTGTTGAATACTACATGATGAACACGGATTTTATGCTTCAGTCATCTTCCTCTTCACCCCCTGTTGGCCTCTTTCTGGGACGTTCTCCTGAGCAGATAGGAGAGAGAAGATACACAGTTCAATGCCGGCCCTCTGAACACTTGCTGTAGCTCTGAGCTGTGGTGGGGATGTGCGCTCTTCTCTCTGGGAGTTGGCCCCGCAGTGCTGGGCCTGCGTCCACACACTCGCAGGGATCAGGCTCCTGGAGCATGACTCTCCTGGGCCCGTGGCCAGCGCTGGGGACACTTTTCCTTCTACACTGACATTCCTACTGTACTACCTGATAACATGAGTGGGCTTCACGGGGAATGGAGTTTCTGGAAAATGAGGTTAAAACATTTATTTTGGTGCAAAAATTCTGAAACTCATGCACAATTTTTTTTCATAACACATTTTCCGTGAAAAGTTTTTCAGTTTCTTAAAAAGTTTACTTGAGGGCCGTTGTTGTGGCGCAGTGTGTTAAAGGCACCGCCTGGGATGCCAGATCCCCTAGGAATACAGGTTCAAGTCTACTCTGCTTCTAAACCAGCTCCCTGCCGATGCGCCTGGGAAGGCAGCAGAAGATACCCAAGTGCTCGGACCCCTGCACCTACGTGGGAGACCCAGATGGAGTTCCTAGCCCATGGCTTTGGCTTGGCTCAGCCCTGACCACTGTGGCCAGTTGGGAAGTAAACCAATGGCAGGCTGGCGCCGCGGCTCACTAGGCTAATCCTCCGCCTGCAGTGCTGCTACCCCGGGTTCTAGTCCCGGTTGGGGCACTGGATTCTGTCCCGGTTGCCCCTCTTCCAGTCCAGCTCTCTGCTGTGGCCCGGGAGTGCAGTGGAGGATGGCCCAAGTGCTTGGGCCCTGCACCCCATGGGAGACCAGGAGAAGCACCTGGCTCCTGGCTTCGGATTGGCACAGCACGCTGGCCGTAGCGGTCACTTGGGGGGTGAACCAACAGAAAGAAGACCTCTCTCTCTCTCTCTCTCTCTCACTGTCTAACTCTGCCTGTCAAAAAAACAAAAACAAAACAAAACAAAAAACACAATGGCAGATCTTTCTCTGTGTGTGTGTGTGTGTGTGTGTGTGTGTGTGTTCCTCTCTGTGTCACTCTGCCTTTCAAGTAAATCAAATTTTTTTTGACAGGCAGAGTAGACAGTGAGAGAGAGAGACAGAGAGAAAGGTCTTCCTTTTTCCATTGGTTCACCCTCCAATGGCTGTTGTGGCTGACGCGCTGCGGCCTGTGCCCCGCTCAGATCCAAAGCCAGGAGCCAGGTGCTTCCTCCTGGTCTCCCATGGGGTGCAGGACCCAATCACTTGGGCCATCCTCCACTGCACTCCCTGGCCACAGCAGAGAGCTGGCCTGGAAGAGGGGCAAACGGGACAGAATACAGTGCTCCGACCAGGACTAGAATCCGGGGTGCGAGCGCCGCAGGTGGAAGATTAGCCTATTGAGCCATGGCACCAGCCAAGTAAATAATATTTTTAAAAAATGTATTTGAGAGACAGAGGCAGCTCCCATCCATTGGTTCACTCCCCAAATACCCACGCTTGGGGCTGGGTCCCTGGTGTGGGATACAGGAGCACAGCTACTTGAGCCATCAGCCCTGCCGCCCAGGGCCTGCGTTGGCAGGACGCTGGAGTCCGGAGCAGAGCAGGGAATCAAACCTCCAGGGACTGCCGTGTGTGCGGGTCGTCATCGCAGGCTAACATTCACTCCCATTCAAGAGCCCGCATACGTTCCTTGGCTTCTTCACTGTATCTAACATTCAGGATTTTAAACTCTGTTACTTTATTTATTTGGAAAGAGCTTACATCTACTGATTCATTCCTCAAATGCCCGCACAACCAGGGCGGACCCAGGCGAAAGGTGGGAGCCAGGAGCTCCATTCAGATCTCTGCAGAGCCATCATCACTGCCTCCCGGGGTCTGCGTTACGGGCAGCTGGAGCCAGGAGCCAGAGCCGGGCCTGGAACCCAGGCACTCCCATGTGGGAGGCTGGCTTCTTAACTGCTAGGCCAAATGCTGCCCCCAAAAGCCTGCGATGGAATCAAGGGTTGCTTGTGTCTTACGTGTTTTGCAGTGTGTGTGTGTGTGTGTGTGCATAGAAAGAAGAAGCACACCTGTCCAATGTTGAACTAAACATGTATGTGACTGGTGTTTATTCCTATGTCTGTCTCCAGAACCTAGAATGCAGCATTCAGCGTTCAGAAGACGTCAAATGAGGGGCAGCTCTTTGGTGGAGGGGTTAAGACAAGGCTGGGGGCGCTCGTGTCCCAGGTCAGAGCCTGGCTCAAGTCCTTCCAATCCCGCTTCCTGCTAATGCACATCCGGGAGGCAGCGAATGGTGGTTCAGATACTTGGGTTCCTGCCACGCACATGGAGACCCAGGTTGAGTTATGGGTTTCTGGCTTAGGCCTGGGCCAGCCCTGGCTGTGCAGGCATTTGGGGGCCAAATAGGCAGGAGTCTCTCCATCTCTCTCTCTCTCTCTCGCTCTCTCGCTCTCTCGCTCTCTTGCTCTCTCGCTCTGCCTTTCAAGTAAAGTGAAAAGAAAAAAACAGTGAATGTGTCATTTGCGCAATAACAGTGATTCTCTTCTATAATTAAGACTTAAAACTTCTTTGCCTCTGTGACCTTCCAGGGGAAAAGGAAACGAGCTAGAGTGGAAATATTTTGCTATCACAGAAATTAACTAATCTTCAGCTACTCTTCCAGCCAGAGACATCCAGTGTCCCACAGTGAGCATGATCGCCCTACCTGTGGGGAAGGGTCTGTCATTCTGTAGGACAGGCCTGGGTGTTTGGGGCCCCACGCCTTTCCCTGTAGCCCCTTCCATCCACCCAGACACACACGCACACACACGCACACACACACACACATGCCTGGCTGCAAGGCTGCAGAGCTTCTGCTCGTTCTTCTACACCCAGTGAGAGGTCTCCTCCTCCATGCAGCCTGCCGAGACCCACCTGAGCACAGGAATCACACCCTCCTCTGGGCCACTCCTACCTCGTTCCTTTACTGCATCTCTCTGGATTTCACTCATCTGTGTAGACAGCTACTGTGTGCCTGCCTGGGCCGTGGGCTCCGCTTCCCCCCACCCCCAGCAGCTGGCCCCTGGGTACAAGGTGCTCCCCGGAAGTGCATCCACGCCGTCTCACCTCATCACTGCTGAGCTGCTTGGCTCTGCGTAACCTCCGAGTCTTATCCTCTTCGGAGCCCTCGTCACTGTCCGAGGAGCTGAATCGGGCTCGTTTCTCTGCAAGCAAAGGAACTGCAGCTGTGGGACAGACCCTCCACGACCAGGGTGCAGCTACTCTGAATATTGGGACTGCCTCCCGGGCGCTGTTCATGTAAGGCAAGTGCCCAGAGGACTTGGTCTTGAGGGGTTCGTTCTCAGAGAGTTCGCCGGCCACTTTTCAGTACCCCAGAAGCACTGTGCACATCCCACAGTTAAGACTGCCGAGTGTGAGCACCGAGTGAATTCGCCCCGTGGGGAGCTGCGGGCCGCACACCCCCTTGGCAGGTGCACCAGTTAGTGCAGCCATCCGCCCGCCCTGACGTGCTGTCTGTGACACTGCTCTCGACAAAACAAGCGGCCTTCGCGCCATCTCGAAGACACAGGAAGACAGGGAGAAAGTGCTCACGGGAGCCCTGGGGGCTAAGTGCCACTTCCACGCCTGACTCACCGTGGGCTGCCCCTGGGCGAGGGCTGTTCAGGGCAGCCAGGCTGGCTGCCTCCTGCTCCTCCTGTTCCTCCTCCCCTTCCTCCTCCTCCTCCTCGTCATCGTCACTGTCGGGATCCTGGTGGGGGGTGCTTGGCACCTGCTGGCGCCGCCTCCCCCTCCCCCGCAGATGGATGCTCTGAGACCCGCGCTGAGTAGAAGCCTGCAGCCGTCTTTCCTCCTTCTGTGGGGACGCAAGTACGCGATTCAACTTCAAACCCGTCTGTGCGTGCCCACCCAAGCCCACCTGCACCCTGCAGCGCACGCACCCTAGAGCAGCTGTGTCCACGTGCAGCTGAGTTACCACACACAGCGGTTTGAAGGGATGCAGGCAACAGAGGGGTGAAGAGCCCGGTTTCCCTCCGCAGTGGACGGGATCGGGACTGGCACAGGTCTGTCCCCGGCAGCCCTGGGAGCTGCACTGTCCCCTGTGCTGCCACTCACAGCCCAGAGACAGTCTCTGTTCATCTCCACCAAACTCCCCCAGCCCCAGAGTCCTGCCCCAGCCCCTGACCCCAGAGAGCCCCCTACAGCTCCTGACAGCAGGAAGGGGCAGCCTGCTGGGCGCAGGGGGTGAGGCTGGGGGGCGGATGCCAGCCACAGGGTAGTCTGCATTGCTGTGCATCTGCCTGTCCTTCTACAGCGAGGTGCACAAGGCTGCACCCGTGTCAGGAAGAGTCAGGAATGCCCTTGGCCTCCAGTGTTAGAATATCTGCTAACAGCTGCGAGTCTGAAAGCACCCATTGTTCTCCAAAATCTCAGAGAATCCAGGAGGCACCTCCTGACGTTCGCTTTCAGTCTCACCGCAGCCATTGACATTTCTATGAGAAATCAGACAGCGGTAGGAATAAGAAACGATGCATGAATATTCTGGGGGCGGTGGGATGGCTCTTGGTATCCAGAAGCCTCGAGAGAAAGCATAGCCAACATATAACATACCTTCATCATGTCTGTGCGCGGGCCCTCAGGATCGCAAGAGGCCATTGGCAGGATCCTAATCTTCTGTGCCTTTGAAATTCTACTAGCAAGTGGCACGGTCATCTTTCTATGGGTGGCACTGTCTATAGAATGAGGCCTGCCAGGGAAGGGACAGCAATGTCTTACTATTCACTGAGAACCTTGGGAGGGGATCAGACCAGCCCCAGGACCACGGCTCCCTAGGGAGCTCCTCCCTTTGCTCCTCATCCCATCCCATCCCATGGCAAGCTGCCTGGAGCGAAGTGGGAGTGCAGGGAGGAAAGGCAGAGGCAAGGTCAAGGGCTGTTACCAAAAATACCCCCAACCACAATCACGGAGAGAAGCACAATGAAGTCTCAGGTCTGTAAGGGTGAGGCACCTGCCAGGAGGCGTAACTTGGGGATTAAAGTAGAGTCCCTCCATCTGGGCAAAACCGGAAGAGAGGTCAAAGCAAGGGGGCCTCCTCGCTGCCCGGGGTCGGCACAGCTGGAACAGGAGTCCTGGTCAGAAAGGCCGCCCCCCTGACGCCAGCGGGTCCACCGGGGCAAAGGGCAGGAGCCTGGGAGAGCGCCTCTGGGCAGAGAGCTGGGGTGTAGGGGGAGAAGGTGTGCACTGCCGCCAGATGTGAGCCCAGGTGAGCCGTGGGGCACGGGGAGAAACAGGCCCAAGCCAAGGGCCGCGGCTCGCGTGGGGCCGTTCAGGAAGAGGGCTCGGAGAGGCAGGACTGGCGCCAGGTTTCGGCGCGCTCGGTGTGCGGCGCGACTTAACACACAGCCCGCGAGGCAGACATTATCGCCGCTCTCTGGGCAAGGAAACGGGAAGTTAGTGAGATGGAGACCTCCCCCCAGCATTGCCCAGGCCGAGAGCGGGCCCTCCCCGGCTCAGGAGGACGGGCAGGACTTAGTACGCTTGGCTTCCCTTGGCCTCCACTCCGTCTAAGCAGGCGATTAAATGGTTGTGGTATCACAAAGTTGTGCAGCCTTGGCCTCGAGTCTGATGGCAGGAGACTTCGACAGCCCGGGAAAAACCCTTGCATCCTCGTCTTGTAGGTGACTCCTCACCAGCCGCACCGTGCCCTTCGGAGGGAAGGGTTCCAGAGGGACCCCCGCACGACGCCCGGCACCGGGCACTGGGGCACAGCCTGCAGGGGGCTCGGGTAAGGGGAGCAGCCTGCCACGCCTCTTGCATGCCCACCCTGACACCGTTCTGAGGTCACATGGCTTCCCAGGTCAATTTCACTGAAGGGGCAGGGCAGGTCTGCTAGGCCTCTCGCCAAGTGCAGCGACCAGGGGGAATTAACAGTGCCCAGCCTTTTGGGCGCTGGATCAGCCTCTTGTGAGCTTTGATAGCAAGCACTGGCTCGCTGCGTAATGGCAGCTGATAGTGGACTTGAAGAAAAGCTCCTATCAGAACCAGACCGTGGTTCTCGCTGAGCGGCACCGGGAGGCTGAGCGAGACGTGCTGGGCCTCTTGGGGTCACACAGCGTCTCTCTTGGGGCGCTTTCTAACGGCAGTGGGTGCCATGCCGCTGGGCTAGTTACCGGAAGGTGAGCTTGGATTTGAAGATGGCTTGTCCCAGCAGGCCGGTGTCGCCTCTTACGAACAGGTGGTTGTGGTTGTCCTGCAGGAGTTCCTGGTGGATCTCAAACACCTCGTTCCCCAGATGCAGGGACATGCTGGAAACCAGAGAGGAGGGGTCAGGGATTAGGCTGGGTATTTGCTGAATGATTCCGACAGCGCCACTTAAAACAGCGCAGGACGGCGGTGTCCCGGCTTCACACTCAACCTACCAGAAGGCTGGATTTGGAAGAGAAACAGAAAAGAGAATTAGAAACAACTGATCTCTTTTCCAAGGAAGAAGTAGTAACGTCCATCCTCTTTCCAGCTTCAAACGTGAGGCTGAGGGACCCGTGCGTGCCCAGAGACCGCGGGACTAGCAGCACAGAGAGCAACTTCTCCAGTCTCGGGCTGTAGGACAGCCGCTGTGTCAGGTAGCCAGCCTCGGCGTTCCGCAGCTGGAAGGTGGACAGCGTGCGGTCTGGGGGCCGTGGCCCACGTCTCCACCAGCGCAGCTGTGTGACCTCAACCGTCTTTATTTCTCTCGGATTTCCTGGGTAATGCCGGGTGGCCTGCATTCTGTCAATTCTTCCACAAAATATCCCAACACAGGTCGTACCCGGAAGCTATCCTATACCGCAAGTCCCCCAAGGGGGGTCTGGGGCGTCTGGGGTGGTCTGGGCTCACCTTCCGTCTGACCACTTGACGATGCGAGCGTTGCTCTCTCTGATCTCATTTCCTTCTTCATCCCGGCGGATCCTCCATCGAATGGTATTTTCCACCTGATTCGGGACATGTAGGCATTAGGAACCGATTGAACTGGCTGCTCGTTCTTTTGTACTCCAGTGATGTGTAGTCCCATACTCGGAATTGACAGGGAACTGTAGAATGAGCTTACTGAAAAATAGCTGGTTTGGCAACACTGAAACCCACCTGCTATATACACCTGGAGAAGCTGGTTAAGCCAACCAGGCATTTTGCTTACATCTTTTCTGAGCTCCAGTTCAGGGCAGCAGGGGCAGAAGCCAACCATGACGCAGATCCACTAAGGGCTCGGAGGGAGGGAGGACAGACTGGGGTCTACAGGAGACAGACAAAGGTTGAGATCTTGATCTAACGCAGGATCCTTGGATCACAATGAACCCAGAGAAAGGGAGGCCTAGTGAGATGGGCAGTAAATTTTTTTTTAATGTTAAAGAATAAACAAATTAACAAATAACAAACTAAAATCCAAGCTCTGTGCTTTGCCCTGTTTTCAAACCCAAATCTACTCTACCCACTTGGGAGGGAACTCCAAGTGATAAAATAGCGCACAAGTTGACCCTGCCCAGTGCTAGCACCGGGGCCCCTGTTAAGGAAGACAGCGCCCCTGCACGACAGCGGTGGTGCTTTGCCACCAGGAGCCTTCTGGAGAGGAGCCAGCCAATGACAAGGTCTCCTTCTGCACCTCAGGGCAATGGGCACAGAGAGCCCAGGACATTTCGATTGTGGGAAGTTGCAAGGATCTAAAACGTGAAAGCAGTCCCACACACTGTGTTTCATTATCATTAATCCTGGAGGAAGTGGTTAAGAGTTTTTAAGAATGTTTATCTTTATGTTGAAATGTGATAACAACAACAACAAAAAACGGAGAAAGAGAGAAATGACAATTCCACAGAGCAGGGACGAACAAGCGTGTGGATCTTTTCCCTAAAGATATTCGGGAAGGATGTTTCATTCCTAGTGCCAAAGAGCTGTGTGTTCATTGAACAGGAAACACAAAAGATCATTTTCATAAGCTCAGGTTTCAAGTTGTCATGTGTGTGTTTTACTTCACAGAAGAAAAAAATCTTCAGAAAAAAGGGACTAGATCATGGGGTGGTACCTTTAATTTCAGCCTGATTCTGTCTCCATCGTAAGGCATTTTCTTATCTTCACGTTCATCTTCATAAAACTGAGGGTCGAAAGGTCTGCGGATTGTTTTTGTAATGTCACGTTAGCGACATCGAGTCATGAATGCGATGACCAGTGTACGTTAGCATCGATATGTTTCTGAACCATCATACAAGAAAACAACATCGTGTGAACCTTATTTAAATGAAGATGCAAATGACAGCGCTTTCTTGAAGTTTGTTTTTACAGCGCGCTGCCTGAAATAAAACCCAAAGGGGACTAATAATTCCACGTCTTATTTGAAGAAATGCCCCCTGAAGTGAGGCAACACACGGCCTGCCTTTCCCTATTTTTTAAAGAAAATGGGTCACACTGAACTGCAGGAGAGTCTGCAGGCACGCCCCGGAGTGAATGAAACACATCAGCACTCCTCTGCTGTCCAAAATCATTGTCTTCCCAAATTCACAGGGGCTTCTGCAAAGAATATTTATGATTTCTCTAATCAATTTTTCTCACTGTCATTTGTCAATTTTGCAGCTGTGCACTAGTGAAAAATAACTTCACCTGTTGGGATATCTGTTTATTTATAGGCACGTGCCAAAATGCTAGGTAAGTTATTAGCATTAAAAGCCTTGGCCGGTGCCGTGGCTCACTAGGCTAATCCTCCGCCTGCGGCGCCGGCACACCAGGTTCTAGTCCCGGTCGGGCGCCAGGGTCTGTCCCGGTTGCCCCTCTTCCAGGCCAGCTCTCTGCTGTGGCCCAGGAGTGCAGTGGACGATGGCCCAAGTGCTTGGGTCCTGCACCCGCATGGGAGACCAGGAGAAGCACCTGGCTCCTGCCATCGGATCAGCGCGGTGCGGCCATTGGAGGGTGAACCAACGGTAAAAAGGAAGACCTTTCTCTCTGTCTCTCTCACTGTCCACTCTGCCTGTCAAAAAAAAAAAAAAAAAAAGAAAAAAAAGGGCTTCTTGATGAGGCAGACATCTGCAGTGGTTAAGCTGCAGGTCAGGAGTGCCTGGGTTGGATTTCTGGCTCTGGTACCTGGTTCCAGCTTCCTGCTGGTGTGGCCCTGGAAGAGAGCAGTGACGGCTCAAGGGATTGAGTCCTTGACATCCACGTGGGAGACCTGAATTGTGTCCCTGCCTCCTGGTGTGGCAGCCATGTGGGGAATGAACCAGCAGATGAGACCTCTCTGGTTTGTATGTCTTTCTCTCTCCCTCTCTCTCTCTCTGTCTCTCAAAAAAACTCTCTTACTATCAACTTGTCATTTTTCTACTGCAGCAATCCTAAATTTATTATTTATCCTAAATTTATTATTTATTACATGAGAAATCTCCCATCTTCATAATTAGTTAACTCATCAAAAATAAGAAACAGTGTTCACATTCTACATAATTTTATTCAACATCTTGAAAAAAATCGATCAGTCCTCTTACTTGGGATCTATGCTGAGAAACTTGGGTAGTTTCACAAAGTGGAGTTCATTTCCTAAGTCAGAGTTGATATTGGGAATCTCTACTTCTATTCTGGTTTCAGAAGTGGGCTGCTTCCCATGCTGGTCCAGGGCTGCTTGGGGTTCATCCTACAAGAAGAGCAGGAAATGAGAGCTTGCAGGGATGCAGGGATGTTCTAGCTTTACTCCCACCCCGGCAGGTGCAGCTTTGAGAGGAAGTAAAGTTAGACAAGCACGTTCATGGATCAATCTTCTCTCCACACGCGTGAGACAGACCTGTCAGCTTCTGCGCCTTCTTTCTCAGCCTTGAATAATGGGGCTCACTTGCGACCAGCAAGTGTACTCACAACATGTTGTCCTGGCATAGGGAGCTGGCTGTCCTCATCACTCGACGAAGAAATGTCATTTATGTCTCCAAAAAGATCCATGGTCCCACTGTAATCTTCAATGTTGGCAGGGGAAGGGGGGGAAGAATTCACAGTATTAATTTCTGTAACTCAATTTCTTTGCATAGTTCTTTAACATACTCCCAAGATTCCCAAACCAAACCTCCATCAAACCAACCTCAAGCTAGCTCCTTGAGCCCAGCCACCAGAGGCTTGGCCAGAGTGTCTTGGGAGCAGTTGGCTGGTGCAAGACAGTTGCTGGGAGAGCTGGCATCTGTGATGGTTTCCAGCAACCCCTGCCTCTGGTTCTCATGCCTTTGGGCAGTCTCCTCTAACACAGCTTCACAGTTGGTCCATGTGAGCAAAGGAGTGCAACCTCACTTCCAAGGTGAGGCCAAGAAAGACACTGGCTTTCTGCCTTGCCCTTCCTCTTGTGGGTCACTCGCTCTGGGGGAAGCCAGCTGCCGTGATGTGAGGACACTCAAATGGCCTCTAGGGAGACCCACTTGGTGAGAAACTGAGGCCTTTTCCAACAGCCATGTGAGCCACATTGGAAAGTGATCCTTGGGCCCGAGACAAGCCTTAGATTGTGTGGTGTTAGCCAACACTTTGTAGCCTTGTGAGAGGCCCTGAGCCAGACCGCCACACTAAAGCATTCCTGAATTCCTGACCCTCAGAATATGCATTATACATGAAATGTCTGATGCTTTAAGCTTCTGATCTGGGTGTAACTTGTTACTCAGCAATAGATAACTAACACAGTGACCCAGGAGGCCATCTCTCCCTTCTGTCTTGGCATCTCTGTTCTCCCACATCTCTCTTTCCCCTGGGATCCTGCATGGCCTGCTATGGTCTCTGGATACTCCAATTTACAGATCCACGTTGGCCTACACACCCATTCTCCAGACTAGAATGTCAGCTAGCTGTGGGCAAAATCAGTCTGTACAAACCAGAGTACCCTAAGGGCTTTGGTTATAGCAGGCAGAAAGGGAGCTAAACCTCTAGCAGACGTTAAAGACCAGAGACACTCATTAGTCATTCAACCCAGAATAAACAACCAGCACCAGTAATAAGAAAAGTTCAAGGAACTCAACTTACTGTTTTGAATGATGAACTTCTTCAGACTTGCCATTACTAGATATTATTTTAACTTGAATTTTTTTAAAGATGAAGGGTGTTCCAGATCCTCTTTTATTAAAATTATTTTTTTATTTAAAAGGCAGTGACACAGAGAGGGAGAGAGACAGAGTGACCTTCCACCCACTGGTTCTCTCCCTTGAAGCCTGGAACTCTATTCAGGTCTCCCATGGGATGGCAGAGACCCAAGAACTTAGGCCATCATCTGCTACTTCCCAGGCACATTAGCAGAAAGCTGGATGAGATGTGGAGGTGGGAGTTGATCCCAGATACTCTCGTACAGGATGTGGGCGTTCCAAACAGTGTCTTAACCCACGGCACCATAACACCTACCCCTGATTTGTTTCGGTTCATGAATACTTGTGTGGCCCAGGTGCTTCAACTTTCCTAGAGCCATGATCAACTTTCTGCCTCCATATTCATCTTCATAAAGGTGTGTGTTTAAATGTGGATGCAATAAAGAGTTTACAGAATTTCCCTTAAATCTTGCCACTGGGGCCAGAGTTATGATGCAGTATGTTATTTGACAGGCAGAGTGGATAGTGAGAGAGAGAGACAGAGAGAAAGGTCTTCCTTTTTGCCGTTGGTTCACCCTCCAATGGCCGCCGCGGCCGGTGCATCACACTGATCCGAAGCCAGGTGCTTCTCCTGGTCTCCCATGTGGATGCAGGGCCCAAGTACTTGGGCCATCCTCCACTGCACTCCCGGGGCACAGCAGAGAGCTGGCCTGGAAGAGGGGCAACTGGGACAGAATCCGGCGCCCCAACCGGGACTAGAACCTGGTGTGCCGGTGCCGCAGGCGGAGGATTAGCCTATTGAGCCGCGGCGCCAGCCGCCTGCTCCAACTTTCAATCCAGCTCTCTGCTATTTTGCCTGGGAAGGCAGCAAATGATGGCCCAAGTGCTTGGGCCTCTGTCACACAAGGAGGAGATCCAGATGGCGTTCCTGGATCCTGGCTTCCACCTGGCCCAGCCTCTGCTGTTGTGGCCATTTGGGGAGTGAACTAGCAGATGGAAGATTCTCTTTCTTTGTCTCTTTCTCTCCCTATCACTCTTCCTTTCAAACAAATATATTTATTTTTTAATCTTATTGCAGATTTTTCTCAACCTACATGAAATAGTTCTGTGAAGCAATCTATTCTTCATTTGACAAACTAAAAATTAAAGGTTGAAGTGATTATTAACATCCCAAGTCACACGGGAAGGGAAGGGGCAGAGATTACCGAGCGTCTACACATCATCACAGCCACACGTGGGGGGCTCTCTGAGCTCTCTTTCCTCTCCAGCAGTCCCTCTAAATGACCACTTCAACTATGTAAAGTTAATGCCACTTGTGTTTTATGTAAGCGGCTTAATATTTATGCCTAAATATGCATGTATACTAATGCCAGCATCCACAAAATAGTAACAGGTAACTTGACAGCTTGTATTACAGGGTAAAATCAAAACCCAAATCTGATACAGCATGTAGGTCACAAAACAATGCTTCAAAAACTTTTTTTTTTTTTGACAGGCAGAGTGGACAGTGAGAGAGAGAGACAGAGAGAAAGGTCTTCCTTTGCTGTTGGTTCACCCTCCAATGGCTGCCACGGCCGGCGCACCGTGCTGATCTGATGGCAGGAGCCAGGAGCCAGGTGCTTTTCCTGGTCTCCCATGGGGTGCAGGGCCCAAGCACCTGGGCCATCCTCCACTGCACTCCCTGGCCACAGCAGAGAGCTGGCCTGGAAGAGGGGCAACCGGGACAGAATCCGGCGCCCCGACCGGGACTAGAACCTGGTGTGCCGGCACCTCAAGGCAGAGGATTAGCCTAGTGAGCCGCGGCGCCGGCCGACAAAAACTTTTAATAATTGAAATCATAAAAAATGTTTCCTGATCATAATGCAATTAATCTAGAAACAATATCAGGAAGGTAACTGGAAAACCTCCAAATATACAGGACCTCCATAAAAAATGAAATTAAAAGATGTTATCTGTTTGTAAAAAATGATTTGTGTATTTGAAAGGCAGAGTTACAGAAAGAGGAAGAGAGAGAGAGAGAGAGAGAGAGAGATTCATTCCATTTACTGGAAGATTTTGGCTGGAGCTGGAGCTGGACGAGGCCAAAGCCAGGAGCCAGAAATTCCATCTGGGTCTCCCATGTGAGTAGGTGGCAGTGGCCCAAGCACTTGGACCACCTTCTGCTGCTTTCCCAGGTGCATTAACAGGGATCTAGATGGCAAGCAGAGCAGCCAGGACTTGAGTCAGTGCTCTGATGTGCGATGCTGTTGTCACTGAAGGCAGCTTAACCCACTGCACCACAACGCTAGCCCCAGACAAGTTACTTAAATAAAAGAAATTTGGAATTTCATTTGTTCATTGATTTGAGAAGATGAGAGAGACAAAGAGAGTTTCCATCCACTGGCTCAGTCCCTAAATGCCCACAATAGCCAGAGCTAGCTAGGCTGACCCAGGGAGCAGGGACACAGCCACTTGAGCCATCTTCTTCTGCCTCCCAGGAAGGTGGAATTGTAAGAGAAGCTGGGACTTAAACCCAGCTGAAATACACAACGTCGCAGGTGCACAACCTGGAACCAAAATGAAAGGAGTGCTTTACAGCATCTGACGACAGCTGTGCAGGTCCACCGAATGCGCCGAGAGGAGCGTGCCCACAGACGCCTGTTGCGGGTTGCTCATCCAGTTTTTGTGTTGGCACCTTCCACCCGAATGCTTACTATGTCATTGCAACCCATTTGAATTGACATTCTTTTTTTTTTTTTTTTAGCTGTCTGCAGAGTTGCAGCTCCTTTTTTGAGCTGTGAGTACTGTAGTCTGCTACAGTAAAACTTTTTAAAAATTAATTTATTTATTTGAAAGGCAGAGTTACAGAGAGGGGGAGAAATAAAGATCTTCTATCTGCTGATTCACTCCATAAGTGGCCACAGTGGCTGGGGCTGGGCCAGGCTGAAGCCAGGAGCCTGGAACTGCATCTGGGTCTCCTACACGAATGGCAGGGGCCCACACACCTGGGCCATCTTCCTCTGTTTTCCCAGGCACATTAGCAGGAAGCCAGATTGGGAGTGGAGCAGCCAGGACTCGAGAACCAGCACTCAAATGGGATGTTGGCATTATAGGTGGCAGCAACTTAACTCACTGGGCCACAATGCCAGCTTACAGCAGAGCCATTTGAGCTGCACATATTTAATGTGTGAAGAGGCCCAGAGCTGGGTAGAGATTCAGTCATCTTATCATTTACATATAGGGAGGCTGAACAAAGGAGCAAATATATTGAGGATAACTGGCCTTTTGAAGAAGAGGCAGTTCAGCAGGATTTTTTTTTTAATATTTATTTATTTGAAAGGCAGAGTTACAGAGAGGCAGAGGCAGAGAGAGAGGTCTTCCATTCGCTGACTCACTCCCCAGATGACTGAAATGGCTGGAGCTGGGCCAATCCAAAGGCTGGGGAGGAACTGGAAGAGCTCCTGGCTGCTGCCCAGGGCTGCACTGGGGAGGCCCCTGGGGTGGGAGCCAGGGCCCAGAGCTTGAGAGCAGGTTCTGTGTAGAGCCAGATGGGTGGTCCAAGTTGGATCTGGGAGGGCAGGGGTACCATAAGTTCCAGGTGGCCGCTCCCTGTAGCTTCTCCAGGGAAACCCAGCGTTTGTCTAAAGACATGTGAAGCCAGGCCGCTGGGAGTTCCCACCGGGACCATGATGACTTGTGCCACCCCTACCCTGCAGCCTGGGTGACCTGAGGCCCTGCCTTCACCCAGGCATACCCTGGCCTGCTTGGTCCTCTTTGGTTTCAGGCAGGTTTGGCCAATCTGAAGCTAGAGCTTCTCCCAGATCTCTTATGCAGGTGCAAGGACCAGAGCACATGGGCCATCTTCTGCTGCTTTCCCAGGCCATAGTAGAGAGCTGGATCTGAAGTGGAACAGCTGGGACTCCATCCGATGCCCATATGGGATGCTGGCATTGCAGGTGGCAGCTTTACCCACTAGGCCACAGTGCTGGCCCCGAGAGAGAGAGAGACAGAGAGAAAGAGAGAGAGATTGCATCCACTGATTCACTCCCTAAATCACTACAACTGGGCCTGGGCCAGGCAGAAGCCAGGAGCCAGGAGCTTCTTGTGGATCTCCCACAATGGTGCAGGGGCCCAAGCACTTGGGCCATCCTCTGATGCTTTCCCAGGCTCACTAGCAGGGAGCTGGATCAGAAGTAGAGCAGCTGGGACTCAAACTGGCTCCTCTATAGGATGCCAGGGCTGCAGCCAACCCTCTGTGCCACAGTGCTGGCTCTTGGCAGGATCTTACTGAGAGCCTGAGCCACTGCCACAAGACACTTTGTCAGGCTTCCTGGGCCTCACCGGGCCCAGATCGATGAGAGATTGCCATTATATGGGCCCAACCTTATGATTTGAGGGCACAGAAAACACCCAGTTCATGATGAGGAGTTTAGCTTGTGTGGTTACTTGATATCCCATGATGAGGTGTTCCAACCCAAACTAGAGATTGTTTCTCTAAAGGGCTTCTAGGAAGGAGAGCGTGAATATGCCCCCAAAGCCCTGGAGGCTGGCGTCCACTTCCCTTATTGATACAGGCCAGAGGGCTCCTCTGGCAGTGGTGTGTCAGCATCGTCGGAGCTGCTGGGTTAGACGCAGGTGGAAGAGCTGCCAGCTCTACAGCTTGCACTGACTACAGAGCATTTTCTCACTCTGATCCTCATTCAAGCCAGGTGGCATCTACAGCTTACTGAAGCTCAAAGCCACAGACTGAAAGGTACATTCGTTGTCTCCTAAATCCAAAAAGTTTGGCCCTACATTCTTCTTGGTAGGTGGCTCAAGGTGCAGCACGTTTTGGAGGTCATACCAGGCATGCTTCAGGCAACTGGTCCTCCGGAAACTCCACGGAGTGGCAAGCCCCTGAATTTTTATAATTTTTTTTTCAAGATTTACTTATTTGAAAGTCAGAGACTGAGGGAGAGACAGAGAGAGAGAAATTGTCCATCTGCTGGTTCACTCTCCAGATGGCCACAGGGCTGAGCCAGGCAGAAGGCAGGAGCTTCATCTGCGTCTCCCACATGGGTGGTAGGGGTTCAAACACTTGGGCCATCTTCTGCTTTCTCAAGCAGCCGGGACTCTGCCACTCGGCCTCTCTCCTGGGGTTACAGCAAGCCCATGTCAGTGGCGTACCTCCCATCATCATACCTGTCTGTCTGCTAACGCGCCTCTCAATGCGCTGGTGAAGGGAGCATCTTCTAGGTCCTCTCACGGATGAAGTTGCGGAGGAGCAGGGTGGTGTGCTGCTGCCCCAGCCTCCCTGCCTCCCTCGGCCCTTGGATTCCCTCCTCCACACAGTCAGGAAGCCTTGGCATCTCAGCCTCCTTAAATGTTGGCGACTGCGGAGTCTAAGTGTCGGTGAAGTACACAAGTACACAGCCAGGTTTTTTGTTTTTATTTATTTATTTATTTGAAAGTCAGAGTTAAAGAGACAAGAAGTACAGAGACTGAAATCTTCCATCTGCTGGTTCACTCCCCAAATGGGTGCAATAGCTGGGGCTTGGCCAGGCTGAAGCCAGGAGCCAGGAGCTGCTTCCGGGTCTCCCACGTGGGTGCAGGGGCCCAAGCACTTGAACCATCTTCTGATGCTTTTCCAGGCCATAGCAGAGAGCTGGATCGTAAGTGGAGCAGCTGGGACTCGAACCGGTGCCCATATGGGAAGCCAGCACTGCAGACAGCAGCTTAATCCACAGCGCCACAGTACCAGCCTCAAGTTATCTTTAGTTATATGCTCTCACACATTCATTCACAATATATATCCATAAACTTGATTTTTTTAAAAAAATCTTTATTGATTTATTTACATTTGTTTTGAAAGGCAAAGAGACAGAAACAGATCTTCTACCTGTTGGTTCACTCCCAATCGCCTGCAATAGCCAGAGTGGGCCAAGCTCAAGTTAGGAGCCAGGAACTCTACGTGGGAGGCAAGGACACAAATACTCGAGCTATCATCCACTGCCTCCCAGGGTGCACACTAGCAGGAAACCGGAATTGGAAGTGGAGCTGGAACTTGAACCCACACGCTCTGAGATGGGATGCAGTCCCAAGCAGTGTCTTCACTGCCGTACCAAACGCCCACCCCATGTCAATAAATTAGGTCCGAGCTAGTGTTAAATCCTGTTCTTTATTTCATATTCTTGGAGCCCACTCCCACGCATAACCTCCCAGGCTCTGGCTGATACTTGTTAGCCAAATTTCACAATTCTTTGAGTGTGTGAGCTGGCTCTTCTTCAGACATTGTGCTGGTATTGCCAGAACAGGCTGAGATCCTAGTAAAAAGGCAAGCCAGACAGCACCCGGCTGGCCGCGCCTTGTGAAGAGAACCTGCCCCAGGTGGTTATTCCAGTGTTTTCAAGCAAGACCAGACCAGTTTCCTCGGGCCTGGGGAGGCCAGTTGCTGCCCACAGCACGACGGGCAAATTTGAGTTTCTCATCTCATCTGGGGCCAGGTGTTGCTGCCTTAACAAAATGCCACAGACTGTGTGGTTTAAACTGAAGAATCTTCTTTCTCACAGCTCTGGGGTCTGGGAAGTTCAAGATCAAGGTGCTGGCACGGTGTCTCATTCGGAGGCTTCCTTTCTTGGCTTGCAGGCTGCTGATTTCCTGCCATGTATACCCATGGCCTCTTTGTGAGTTGAGAGGGAGAACACAAGCAAGCACAGATGAACTCAGTTCTCTATTTATTTTAGATTTATTTGAAGGCAGAGTTACAGAGAGGGAGGGGAATAGGAGAGAGAGAGAGGGAGAGAGAGAGAGAGAGAGAGAGAGAGAGAGAAAATCTTCCATCTGCTGGCTCAATCCCCAAATGGCAGCAGTGGCTAGGGTTGTGCCAGGCCAAAGCCAGGAGCTATGTCCAGGTCTCCCACGTGGGTGCAGGGTCCCAAGCACCTGGATCATCATCCATGTCCCTCCCAGGCATATCAGCAGGGAGCTGGATCAGAAGTGGGGCAGCTGGGACAAGAACCAGAGCCCATATGGGAGGCCAGCATCACAGGGGAGAGTATAACCTACTGTGCCACAATGCTGAACCCTGTCTTTTAAAAAAAATTATTTATTTTTATTTATTTATTTAAGAGAAAGCAAGAGTGCTCGCATCCATTGGTTTATTTCCTAAATGTCTGCAATGGCTGGGGCTGGGCCAGGCTGAAACTGGATGCCCGGAAGTCAGTCCAGGTCTGCCTTGTGAGTGGCATGAACCCAATTACTTGAGCCATCATCTGCCTTATGCAAAAACAGGAAGCTAGAATTGGGGCCAGAGCTGGGTACGCACCCAGGTACCCCAGTGTGGGACGTGGGCACTTGGCATCTTAATGACCAGGCTAAATACCTGCCCCTCTACCTCTGTAGAAGGGCATTAATGCTATCACAACCCCTGCCCTCACATCTACAAACAAAACCCTGGCCAAGGCCTCGCCTCTAACTGCCATCACACAGGGGGCTGGGGGACACATTCCGTCCATAACATCTGCCTCCTAGTTCCCTTCCCAGTCAGTGCCTTAACTTCCCCACCAGGGCCCCGGAGAGGCTGTGAAGTCCAGGGCTGCTGTAATTCTGCAGCCACACAAAAGTAAACATTGTTGACAATGTTCGGCTCCTCAGCCCTCGGCTGCGGGATGGAGAGCCCCTCAGGGCTGAGAAGAGAGCTCACTGGCTCCGTGTCAGGAGCTGATTTAAGGCTCCACGTTTGTAATTCTCTCTCTATACTTGCTGCCGAGGGCCCCCGAAGTGTGCACCCTACACCACAGTCCTGACCTAACAGACGAAAGCAGCGGCTACCTCAGCCAGCAATCGGATTCGACCCGATTCGGAACCACATTCCATGGAGAACCAGCTGGGGGTGGGGGTGGGGGCTAGGATCTTCACTCAAACCCAAACCACCCTCTCTAAGAGTGTGAGGTACTTCAGAAAATTGTTGAATGACTAAATAAAAGTTTATTTTGCTGCTAAGGGGGAAAAAAACCCTTTAGACCATATATATTTGATCTCTGAGGAATTGTTTTCTGGGCTACCTACTAGGTAGGTTCCAGTCAGGAAAGAGCAAAGACACCAGTTGTCTGTGCAGGGAATTCAATATATTAAAAACTATGGAGGACAAGTCCCTCTCCCCCCAGCCCCCACCCCGGCCTGAGAGGTCACGAAGGAGCAGCATTATTAGCACTGAGAAGCCTACCAGCCAGGAGGACCCCTTGGGGCTGGAATTCATACCTGAGGAGGAGGAGCTGTCCATCTGGCACTGAGGGCTGCGGGGCAGCGCGCGGCCCGGTCACCAAGGGCTGGGGACACAGCAAGCCGCACTGGGCCGTCTGGAGGGAGCTGCCTCTCCTGTGGCCCCTTCTCCACCTGTGGGTCACCAGGAAGCCCCTGGGAAGGCCTGCAGACAGGAAGGAGCAGCCCTTTCTGTGCTCTCCAGGCTCCCTGTCTTTCTTTAGCGCCCCCTAACAGGGCAGCTGGGGAAGCTGAGTTTGTGGAGTCTTGGCCCCACCATCACAAAGCCAGGCATAGAGGGGTGGTCTCAGGTGGGCAGACATTTAGCCTAGCGCGTCAGAAGCCTGCACTGCCTATCAGAGGGCCTGGGGTGAGTCCTGGCTCGGCTCCCAGTTCCAGCTTCCTGCTAATGTGCACCCTGGGAGGACAGCAGTAATGTCTCTAGTCCTTGGGTCCCCGACACCCACCTGAGAGACCTGGCATGGCCCAGTCCTGGTTGTGGTGGCCATTTGGGGATTGAAACAGCAGACAGAAGTGCTTCTTTTAAGTTAAAATAAGTAAATAATAAAGTATCTGCACCCCCTTCTAGCTTTCACAGTGCTTAAAGTTCCTTACTGGTTTGTGTCGCGGCTGCTCCCTTTCTGATCTAGCTCTCTGCTAATGGCCTGGGAAAGTGGTTGAGTCCCTGCCACCCACGTGGGAGACCCAGATGAAGCTCCTGGCTTCGGCCTGGCCCAGCCCTGGCCACTGCGGCCATCTGTGGAGTGAACCAGCAGATGGAAATTTGTATTAATGACCCACTTCTAATAACCAGAATGTGGTGGAAGTGATGCTGTGTACTTTCCACATCAGCTCACAGAGGTGAACTCAGAAACAAGGCCATACAGCTTATAACCTGCGCTCCCTGTCTGCTCACCCGAGGAACCCAGTCCCCACGCTGGAGAAAGCAGGCCCAGCAATCAATCCAATGTGGTGACAATGGGATACTCACCTTGCTTGTAAATAAAAGGGGTGTCAAAATCTTGGTAATCAATACAAATACTGTAACGTAAAATCATGTAAAAATCAAAATTAGTTCCAAAAAGGCCATTACAAACAAAATTTTAAAGACAGAATCCAATCCTGCCCTGGTCTGACTCTGCTCACTGGCCGCAACCTAATACTAGCCCAGGCAGATCCCACCTTTCCTTAGGATTTTGACATTTTGCTCACTGTGATCATTTTGCATTCATTTTGATCATCTGAAACACGGCATTGTGAAATCCTTCATCACGATTATTAGAGTGGGTTGAATTTAGTAACCCAACCAAGTTCGTGTCTCCAGGACTTTGGAATGTGACTATATTTAGAAATAGGGTTTTTGCAGATGTAATTAGACAAGACAGGGTCACACTGGATTCGGCCAACACCTGGTGTTCTCATCACCACAGGGAGGCCTAGAGACACAGAAACCCAGAAAGGCCCTGTGAGTGCCACTGCCACTCTCAGGGACTGCTGGGAGCCAACTGGAAGGCGCGAGCCAGGGCCCTAGGGTGGGAGTGCGGCTCTGCAGTCCACTTGTCCTGAACCTCCAGTCCTAAAACGGCAGAAGAACGCAGCGCCGCTGCTGGAAGCCGTGCTCACGGTACTTTCCAGGGCAGCCACAGGAACCTCACACAGTGGCTGCTATTTCTGCCCCTACCCCTTTAAATGCTGCACCTGACAAGGCCTCACTCTGCCTCAGCCTAGTCCCACCTGGGCCGGGGGTTCCTCTGTGGGCGACAGGAGGCAAAGGTAGGGTGTGTGCAGAGCCACTTTTAAAACCCAAGACTTGGTGTAAAGTGTTAATGGAATCAACTGCTCTGGGAAAAGCAGCTTTCTTGAACACAGGCTTGTCTTTAAATGATTTTTTTTTATTACAATTAGAAATTACACAAAGGCAAATCAATTCATTTGGATCAAAATAACTCATGTTTACATCATATTTATAAAACAAGCTGTACAATACAATATATAAAATGCCTTCACATTTTGTACTTCAGTCGTCATCCTCTTCCTCCTCGTCACTGATCACATACTTCTTATGCTTTTTATTTGCTTTATCATCATCTTCTGCTTTTCTCTTCCCAGAAGGTTCACCTTCCTAAGCAGAAAAAATTTTTACAAATTTAAAAATCAATAAAGGACAAACTTTTTTTTTTTTTTTTAAGTTATTCATTTGAAAGGTAGAGAGACAGAGACACAGAGATCTTCCACTGCTGGGTCCGGCTACAGCCAGGGGCCTGGTACTCATCCAGGTCTCCCACATGGGTAGCAGAAACCAAGCAGGTGGCTCCTCACCTGCTGCTCCCCAGGACGCACACTGGGCAGGAAGCCTGGGTCAGCAGCAAACTCAGGCACTCAATATGGGATGGGGCGTTCCAAGTGGCACCTTAACTGCTGTGCCAAACGCCTGGCCCTGGAGAACATATTTCTAGTTTGGTATCAAAAGTAGCTCACACCTGAATGACCCTCTGAAACTCAAAAAAAGGAAACCTTCAGTAAGAACACTGACTAGATGAGTAGGCGTTGAGGTCGTTACTAGCAGTCAAGATTACAGCAGTCAAGTTTTCAAGGCTATACATGCAGTATAAAATGACAAGTGTGGCAGACGTCATTACAAACTAACCGTAAAGCCCAACTTCCAGCCTCAGTGGACCAGGAGGAAGAGCCATGCAGCCACGAGCCCCTCTCATCTGGGAGAAGGCTGTGTGGCGAGGGGCAGGGTCTCCCAGGGAAGCTGTGTGTACAACCCCGGTGCTGAATTTGCACCATCAGCTAACCACTCACTCTCTGCCTCCTCAGCAGCTCACTTTTTTTCATTGTGTAAAATTCAGTATTTTAAAGACTGTCAATTTTCTAATAACAATTTTTTGGTTTGCAATATACTAAAAATTCACATCATGAGGTTTTTAAGAAAGTATTTGAAAAAAATTAGTTGCTTTCTATATGCAAGTTTTCTGTTATGATCATTCTGGTTTTTTATTTATTTTATTTTATTTTATTTATTTATTTTTTTTTGACAGGCAGAGTGGACAGTGAGAGAGAGAGACAGAGAGAAAGGTCTTCCTTTGCCGTTGGTTCACCCTCCAATGGCCACCACGGCTGGCGCGCTGCAGCCGGCGCACCACGCTGATCTGATGGCAGGAGCCAGGTACTTCTCCTGGTCTCCCATGGGGTGCAGGGCCCAAGCACTTGGGCCATCCTCCACTGCACTCCCTGGCCACAGCAGAGAGCTGGCCTGGAAGAGGGGCAACCGGGACAGAATCCGGCACCCCGACTGGGACTAGAACCTGGTGTGCCGGTGCTGCAAGGCGGAGGATTAGCCTAGTGAGCCGCGGCACCGGCTTGTTATGATCATTCTTTACAGTGTTCTCACAGAAAAAAGCAATTCAGGAAGTTATCTAAAAATCTTTCAAGTAGCTTTTGAACATATCAACATGCAAAGAATGTCAAATTTGGATTAAAATGACAGACACTGAATGCAAACTGGCATGCAACAAGTGACTAAAATATTCTTATTAAGGGGCCGGCACTGTGGTACAGTGGGTAAAGCTGCTGCCTGCTGTGCCAACATTAAGACCCAGCTCCAACTGGTGCCCATATGGCACCAGTTCAAGACCAGGCTGCTCCACTTCTGATACAGCTATACCTGCTAAGGTGCCTGGGAAAGCAGTAGAAAATGGCCCAAGTCTTTGGGCCCTGCACCCATGTGGGAAACCTGGAGGAAGCTCCTGGCTCCTGGCTTCAGATTGGCTCAGTTCTGGCCATTGCGGATATCTGGGGAGTGAACCAGCGGATGGAAGACCTCTCTCTCTCTTTCTTCCTCTTCATAACTGTGCCTTCAAATAAATAAATAAATCTTTAAAAAAATATATTCTTATTAAGACTAAAGCTTGCTAATACTGTCAGGAATGTATAGGTCCACAGGTTATGAAGAGACAGTGAGGCTGCCAAGGGGGCAACGGAGCTTGCAAGAGGGAGAGTGAAAGGAGGAAGGAGGGCAGCAAGTGCATGGCGGCTCCTGGGCAGCCTGCGTCTTCTGCCTTGCGTCGCCCAGGACTGGCCTGCACACCCTGCCTTTCCACTGGCCCTGCCTGCGTCTTCAGCTTGAGCCTGCGGGAGAACAGCCCACCACACACAGTTTCTCCCTCTCCCATTTTCCATCTCTGAAGTACTTGAGGTTTCCTGGAGTTTTTACTGCTTATGGGAGCAGGGAAAGCTCTCCTTTACATTTTCCCCTTTGCCATAGCGTAGACCTTGTTGGAGAAGGACAAGGTCTGTTCAGCTGCCACATGACCCTGTGTTATCCACTTTCCCATCTGCTGCTTGCTGTAACACAACTTCACCAGGCAGCAACATCAACCCAAGTGATCAGAAAAGGGCACACATTCAGGAACGTGAGATGACCTGCCCACAGCCATTCACGAGGGAAAGGATGGCACCAAGATCCAGCAACCCAGCCTCATCTGCTGTAGCCTGGCCCTTGGCCCACGTCAGGGCAGGCCGAGGTGATGATGGCGGTTTTCTGAAGTGAGAACGCAGGGTCTGAAGACCCTCCCGCTTCTCAGAGGCACATCAGGCTCCTGGCATCTGGGTGTGATTTAGTGTATGACAGAGGCCTAGAGCAGGTGCTCCTTTGTTTGTCTCTTCCACTGTCCTCCACAGCCAGGGACTCAAACTGGGGCCATATGAGGAGGTGGTGGCAGGGGCTGGGAGGACCGGGTAGAAGTAAAAACCCTGTTGCCTGGGGGCTGGCACTGTGCCGTAGTAGGTTAAGCTTCTACCTGTGGTGCCGGCATCCCATAAGGGTGCTGGTTCGAGTCCTGGCTCCTCCACTTCCGATCCAGCTCCCTGCTAATGCGCCTGGGAAAGCAGTGGAGGATGGCTCAAGTGCTTGGGCCCCTGCACCCACGTGGGAGACCCGGAAGAAGCTGCTGGTTCCTGGCTTCTGGTCAGCCCAGTTCCAACTGATGCGGCCATCTGGGGAGTGAACCAGTGGACAGAAGACCTCCCACTCTCTCTCTGCCTTTCCCTCTCTCTGTAAGTCTGCCTCCCAGATAAATAAATAAATCTTTAAAAACAAAACAAAATAACACTGTGTTTTCAGGGAAGAAAAATAAAGTGGGAAGATCTAAGATAGAGTGTCTGGGTAAGGAGGGGAGAGCAGCTCCTGGAACACACAGCTAAGAGGCCATTCGCAAGAAGCATTTTAAGTCGGGCAGCTACAGGTTTACAACTGCCCAGCCAGAAGGCTCCCATTGAAGAATCTCACTTCTGAGAACACTAGCAATAAACAGAAGTCCCAAAGCACTTCTCAATTTTCATTCACAGTTCTTGCGTGCCAAGAAATAAACAGCAGCTGCTCACATGAGGATTCCCATTTGCCAACAGTTCAACACTAAACACATCATCAGCATGTCACCTCCTCTGATTTAAAACGCGTATGCTGCAGGGGAATCTAACAATTTCCCTCTGGTTGTCTTCTGTAGCATGCCACTTCCCAGCATCATTGGGAAATACGGAATGCTGTGATTAACAATGTCCCAACAACAGGAGCTGGTGTTGTGGCACAGCAGGTAAAGGCACTGGTTCATGTCCTGGCAGCGCCACTTATTTTTTTCTCAAAAGATTTATTTATTTATTTGAAAGTCAGAGTTATGCAGAGAGAGAAGGAGAGGCAGAGAGAGGGAGAGAAGTCTTTCATACTTTGGTTTACTACCCAAATGGCTGCAACAGCCAGAACTGAACCAATCTGGAGCCAGGAGCCAGGAGCCAGGAGCTTCTTCTGTGTCTCCCATGTGAGTGCAGGGGCCCAAGTACTTGGGCCATCTTCTACTGCTTTCCCAGGCCATAGCAGAGAGCTGGATCAGAAGTGGAACAACTGGGTCTTGAACTGGTGCCCATATGGCAGCAAGTTTACCCACTACACCACAGTGCTGGCACCCTGCTCCACTTCTGATCCAGCTCCCTGCTAATGGCCTGGGAAAAGCACTGGAAGGTGGTCCAAGTGCTTGGGTCCCTGCTACCCTCATGAGAGCCCCAGAAGAGGCTCCCAGATCTTGGCTTAGGCCTAGTCTAGCCCTAGCTGTTACAGCCATCTGGGGAGTGAACCAGTGGATGGAAGATCTCTGTTTTTCCATCTCTCCTTCTCTTTCTGTAACTCTTACTTTCAAATAAATAAATAAATCTTTAAAAAAAAAAAAACAAACAAAAAAAATCCCAAGAACAAAATTCTGTGTCTCACGAGAAAAGACCTGATGGAAACTTAAACCAATCAAAATACTTTCTCAGCGTGGATAACAGGAACAGAACATCCGTCTCCAGCAACATGGCCAGAGGAGACTCTGAGAAGGCCTCCCACTGAAAATAACTATGAGGATGGCTACAGTACTGTTTCAACGTGAAATATGGTGAAATCCAAGGCCAAGAACCCAGTCAGCAGAGCACTGGAGTGGCCTTTCTCCTTAAAGACATTCACTGAACTATGTGAACATGACCTTGGTTTTCACGTCTGGTGGGGTGCAGAGGACAGGAGGCAAAGGTCACACTGAGCAGATTCTGAAGGACCACAATTATAGTGAACCAGTGATAAGCCCAGTCCCGCTTCTCTGAGGCCAGATTCAGCAGTAAAGCACCAGATAACAAATGTCTTAAGATTTTGGGAGCCATGCAATTTTTATTGCAATTGCTCAACTCTGCCACTAAAACAGAAAAATAACCAGAAACAA